ATTACCACGCTATTATTGAGGATGTTGAGCTACAGCAACAACTAATGAAGATCTGGGTAGACAAAACAAGCTGAGAGTTATCTGTGGAGAGATTCAAAGACTTCACTTTAACTTGAAGTTTGTGCTAATGATGACGTTTCGAAAGATAATAAACGATTCAAATCCAAACCACCTGGCTCAAAAAACTAAACCATCATAATCACCCATCTGAGCTACAAATTTTCTCCACCTTCTGAAGAGATAAATGTCCACCTCATCATTCTTATGTAATGGATTCATTGGGTTGCTTTGACTTTCTTCAATACTGTGTTTGCCCGAAATAGTTTTCTACTCAAAACTCTACACTCTTCCTTGAAGCTTGCAGAGTACCAAAACACTACAATTAACATAGGTTTGCTTCCTGGAAATAAAAAGTGGTCATAAATTCAGTCTGAACTCTTGATATAGAAACCCCTTCATATCACTGTTTGTGAAACGATGTTAAGAACTGATGAGTATTTAGAGGTGATCGAGGCCAGATTGACTATAATTACCACTAAACACTAATTATTAGCCCGTCACTGAAAAGAAAAATAAATCCGGGTAAAGAGTATATTTGCTGGTGATATCGTGGTGTCGAAAAAACCCCGAAATTACATTAAGAAAGTAGGCGAAATAAAGAGCAGCGTGCAACAAAGTGTGGCAGCAACACAAACAGAAGCTTGCGCGTAAGTTATGGTTTTTAGTACAGTCACACAAAGGGAGGGTAGAGGATATTCGTAGATTGCTTGCGTTTAATCATGTGTCTCCGAAGATTTGCTCTTATATCCTAGGATAACTAAGTGAGCAATGCTATTGTTAAGAAACAAGTACTAGGTAGGGATGGAAAATCAATAGATAAAGTGTTGAAACTTGACCATTTTAGCTTGTTGTGACAAGTGTTGCGTATGCTTAACCACCGTCTGCCTCAACGAGCTATGTTTTGTGGTGTATGAGTAGGTTGGAAGAAAGCTAGGGGCAGCCAAACAAAAACATGGCACAAATCCGTAGTGGTATACTGTTACGAAGGAAACACAATTGGTCAAATATAAAAATTTATTATTGAACTTTATATTTGTTATATTATACACCTTTTGTTTATCTGTACAAAAGACTATCTCGCGCGCCAAGCGTGTTATTCCCATTCTGTTTTTCCGCGCGTCTCTTCCCTGGACGTTAGCCGATCGAGTACCCTAGTCTCGTGATTATTTCGAAATCACGATGCTAGCAATAAATATACCGGTTCCTCTAGAATCGTCTTTTCTGTGATTTCTAGATTAACGGGATTAACATTTGTTATCCCACGAAGTGGTATGTTTATTTGGTACTACCACAAATCCATGAAATCACTGACAAGTGGACTGAGTCATGTTGGTAGATGTAGGCTACCTGGTTGGGGTCTGCGAGACGCAAGACACCAACGGTTAGAGTCCTTGGAGGACATGGCTCAAAATCGTTTGCAATGGCGCAGGTGCATTCACTCTTTGTGTTCTCTCAAATCCTCATCTTCTAGATTCGTCAACGCCTCTACATCTGACTTTCTAAACTTATCTCACTGAATTATACTTCATGAATTATATGTTCAAATCCTTATCTTCTCCATTACCAGTAATTCTTCTACTATCTTCACCACTATGGGATTTGAACTGACGGTGGCGTGTCTGTGCTAATGCGGTTTTGTCAACCTGGACCGATATATGTACATATAAAGTTGTGTGTTGTATCTGTCTGTGTCTGGATTGCTTATGATGAACGATAAACGAATTCTATGTGACTATAAAAAGTACACCAGCCATGCTTCTACTCGATTTAATTGATACTTTTTCTTTATTAACGGTGTATATTGAACGTAATGAATCAAATATTTTGTCTAGCTATTGTTTAATTCAACCACACAAGACAGTTCTCCATTATACGTGTTTGTATTGATCACAGTAAATATGCAAATAGTTTGTTAATTTTAGAACTAAATCTATGTTAGACTTTCGATTAGCGAGACAATTAAGATTTTGTGTCATAGACTATGTTAACTTTCATTTGTCTTGGTCCAATCGTTCATAATATGTATGTTCAGATAAATTAATAATTTATTTTCCAAAGATGATCTAATAATTCAAGACGGATTTAAGGACTATTAACTTTTTCTACGGAAAGCACTGGGAATTCTATTCAGAAATGTTATATTTTATGACTGTTTTGTCTGTAAAATCTATCTGTTATTATCTTCAGTTTGTTTTACGTTTTCTAAGCCCCCAGAAAATAGCTCAGATGAAAGTTAAGTAGTGTGTAACTTACGCTTGAGGCTATCAGACTGCTATTAGCTCATTTCACAGATTTTCAATAGTTAGTGTCGACACTGTCTCATTAATCAAGTTCTTCATAACGTAAATCATGTTTATTCTATCAAGTTAGTCATTAGTTTCAAATTATCTTAGTTAGGTTTTGTCGACCTATATAAGACTTAATAAGACAGTAAGTTTTTAGGACTAAATTATTTTAGGCCATATTTTAGTGAATTAGATGTTAATAAACATAGACAAACCAACTTTCACTCAAGAATGTATTAAGGGTGTGGCACCTTTTATTCTTTTAAGGTTAAGAACTTTGTGTACAGTTGATACACCTTTAGAAAACATCACATTCACGCTACCAAAGTCATTAGTTGTATATATGAATGAATAATTTAGTTACCACCTAAAGCTTACTCTACTGAACAGTTCAGCTGAATAATACTTCTGTTGACAGGATGGATCCCAGGAACTACAGTTAAAATACGAGACTGCATGACATTTAAAATAGGATACAACAGAGAGACTAGTTTTTCCGTACACTGCAGTTATAAACTTATAACTATCATGGGATGATAGCCAGTTGAAATTAAAAATGGACTTCGATTGAACAAGTTACTGTTTTAAATGGGAAATGGTGGGTTCCATGACAATGCATAGAACTCATTATGAGTGCCGTTTAAGAGTAAGGAAAAAGACCGTAAGGTTGTGTGTAACCCATAATCAAGTGGACATAATACAAAATCATTAATATTTATGGTCATTATTAATACTAATACCAAACGAATTACGGAACACGAATATGCGATTTTGAATACTTCACAGAAAAATGTCAAGTCGGATATAGAAAGTCAGAACCAAGTACTCACTATTCTCAACATGTAGTACCGCCTAATATAAAATTGACTCATATGTAATATGTACGTCTTATGCAGTAGGACATGAAGACTGATCCGCTGATACAATCGTTCGTTTTTTTGCAATCAAACAGCAGTAATGAAGGATTTATAACAAATTACACAAATTTTTCAAAAATCTTAAGCTGTAGTACTTCTTATTTCCCATGCTGGATTACGCTTTTTATCATTAATATTCAATTGACTGATAAAATACAATGTTGAAAACCCTATATATTCGGCATTTTCATGCCATAAACCGCTATTCTTTTTATTTGTCTCAGCATCCTTAGTGAGTCACTAGCTCCACATTTATATTCTGTACTCGAGTTAACATATGACCCATTTCAATGAATTTTTGTTTTAAGCACATACAAATGATCTAGAAAATGAGTGTTTATTTCCTACTATTATTTGTCGGATGAGACAAGCCGCTGATCGAATTGCATTTGATCAGTAATTTGTCCATGTCAGTCCCCTCGATCTACCTTAGACTCTAGTCTACTCATGAGATTTCTAACTCGAAAGCAAGACAATTAAGAGTCAATATGCATTTTTGTAACGAGGAGCAATTAACTTACCTACCTTCAATTTTGAGTCCGGTTTACTGTACTATAAAACACGAAACACAGTACAACTAAGCGACGTAAAAAATTTACTGAACAAAATAGTAACTGAATGGAGTAATCTGGAGCTACGTTACATCATATGCAAGTGAACCTACAGCCTTTTCCTAGTTTTCATTTGGATTTCAATGACGTCGAGGATGAGAAATACTATGTCCTCCATGTCAAGCTACGTCTACAGTAAACTAGTATAATTATCCGTAAGACTACTCAGTATTTAGGACTGAAAACTCTCAGATTGATAAAAAAACTTTGCTAATATTTTTAACCGTACATTAGACCAGAAAAGTAGTCAATTAAAGTTAGCATTAAAACTTGATGAGTCTCAGATCAGGATAGTATTACCAATATGATTCTACATTACTTACACAGATTAGTAAATGAACCAGCACTGGAAGAGAAAGCTATAAATTCACTGGGACGTAAAAATGAGGTTTTACATACGTAATCCTGGTCTTCATTCAGCTTCAAACTTCCCAAGTTTGCCAATTTCAACACAGATCAGCAATGGTATGCATATGCAGGGTTGCGCGTTTTCTGTTTATTTTTATTGACAGATTACGTTTTATTTTAGGTACTGAACCATAAATCATCTCCTAATCTAGGTATCGCGAAACCGTCACCCAAATGCTATATGAAATAAGAATTGAAGAGTATAGCCTTGTCACACTAAAATATGATCACAACATGGATAATTTGAACTTGATACCTGGTTAGGATGAAGTATATATGACTGGTGAGTTCGTTTTAAGATCAGCAACAAAGCAATTATTAAAATCAACACTACAGAAATGGTGTAGATTTTTGAACACAAACTTCTGGACTTTATTTTCTGTGGAATTTAAGTAACCGACAAGTAGCTTATATTGGAATTCTATGAAAGTTGTACTAGTAAGTGACAGGTGTAGTTGAAATCTCAACCGATTCCTATTTATAATCAAACAGCTACGATTTGCATACAATCACTAATGTTATTGGCGCGATGTGTATCACCTTTTACTCGAACAGCCAATAATTTTTCAGTGGTCTGATGTTCACTTGTGAGTTAAGGCTTAGAGTATCTATACTTCGAAGCTGTACTTTCACATCGCTTCACTTTTTTATTTATATGGTTGTGGTGCTGCCCTACGTGACTTTAACTAAGCATTTGACATTGAACACACGACTGTCATTTTGGAAATGAGCCTATATTTTAAATAAGTCTGGTTAGATTTTTTTTCAAATATATAGGTTATGAGCATTACCAGAGTTTAACAATCTAATGGTTAGCTGTTGAAAATCATATTCAGTTCAATGTCATTCAAGATTTCCAATCAAAGAGGTGGAACAAACGAATATATGCTGCAGCAACGTTTTGAAACAGACGAATCATGTAAATAAGTATACACCAAAATCTTTTGAATTATTAATCCAAAAAAATGTTTTCGTTTCAACTACACAAATTTACGTTTGAGAATAAAAACATACTCAAAAGTAATGAAACCTAGAGGTAATATCATTCGTCCTGTTTACATTCAAATATAGACACAATGACAAAATAAAAAAAACTCAGTATGATGCACTAAAAACAAAAAAAATTGAGTTCGAAGAATAAGAAAGCATGTAAAGTGAAAAGAGAACAGATAGACACACACGAGTACATATTATATTTGACAATATAGAGAATAAAAGGCGTAAAAATTAAAACTGAGCAAGTATTTTAGAAAATAATGTAACTTCAAGCCAAACCATATACACATGGGAGCATTATGTGGAACAAACAGAATTGCTATTAACAATCATTTACAAATCATCCCTGGATTCTTTACCTGTAACAAAATGCACTGCCCACTGATCATTTAATGAAAGGTCAGGTTTACGAACAACAACAATTTGTGGCATTTGTTTGAAGCCAGTAGAAAGACCAGAAGATGGAGTAACAGAAAACTCCAAGTTTCTTCGTAGTTTATAGTCATCAATCACAGTAACTCTTTCCAAAGGACTACCGAAACCAACAACAACAATACGTTCAATTTTCGGGATTGAAATACCATCTTTAGGTAGCGAAATAGTATTTTCGCCTGGTAATGGTAAACGTAGTAAGCGTAATTGTCCACCATGCAAACCCGCATTCGTTGGGTCGACAACTCGCTTGTAAACAATCTTGAAAAACTGGGCATTTGATTTAGAAGTTGAATGGAAATCATCAATATATAAATAACCAACTGCGTCAGGTTCTTCAAGGTCTAAACAAACAACAAATGTATAAGGATCATCACGCATAAGCCACGACGAACGACGTATACGCTCTTTTCGTGGTATAATCCAACCACCCCGATAAAATACAGGTATAGAATTTATTGTTACTGGATACTGTATCGATTGTCCACCTGTAAATGCCTACAATTAAATACAAAAATAACGAATGTGTGAAAATAAGATGAATTTATCTGTTTTGCGACTTCCCTTCAGCTCTTTAAAACCTAAACATAGTTTTCTCACTACATATAATTGCTTACTTATTATCTGAACTATACTCAGCTGATTTGTTTCATTTTAAAGTACTATATAAATGCAAAATTATCATTTAATTGCTTGACAATTTTGTCTTTACGTGTCTATACATTGGTCCAAAAAGGTCGCAAGCAAACTAAACAGTAATCTCATTTGAAAATCTCAGCATTAAACATTACAACAGTATGATGCTCGAAGGATACAAGATAATCATGATAACTAGGAATAAAAAATACGCTACGTTGCAGAACAAACAAATAGTTGAAAAGTGTTAAATTGGAAAATTGATCATATTAAATGTTGAGGCGTAGTATCTCCCTCTTCCGACTAATCACTTTGTTCGTATGCTTTATCCAGTATTAAAAAGCAATTGAAATTAGGGACTGAATAATAATGAATCTCATGATTTGAAAAAAAACTACATTTGAAATAAAACCACATAGTTTCATATTATTATTTTGTAAAAATTCATGAAACCGACCACTCAACAACATTAAATAGCTGCTTAAAACAGATACTGAATTAATGAAAACTAACTTGTTACTTGCAGAAATCGATTCAAGGTTACAGTTACAACTTAGAACTCCGTACGTGCGTACATAATTTCAGGCTGCCATACCACATTAGCGCAGAAACGCAACTACAAGTCCAAACCCCATAGTGGTAGAGATAGTAGAAGTATTAACGGTAAAGGGGAAGATTAGGGTTCGAAGATGAAAAGTTTAAAACTGGGATATCTTGGGAAGCATGATGGAAATTAACAAAAAATAGTGCGAAACATATTTTTAGCAGCGTTTTAGAAATCAAAATATTTCTCCATTTGTCCTTTGAATTAGTCCGTTTTTCCGATGAGTTCGTAAATCTATCATTTAGTGAACTTTTTTATTTTATTACAGATATTAATTGAATATAAAATATTCAAATTCAATATGACACTGTTCTTTTCGTAGAGTTGCAAATAAAGTTTAAATTTCTATGAAAGATTTACCTTTATTTTCATGTGATAATTTAGTTGTAAACTAAGACTAACGAGCACACTATACAAATGATCATTTACCTCAAATGATGGATAATTATACCATGTTCCTTTTGGAAGATATAATTGTACATAACTAACACCTTGATCAGTTACAGGGCGCACAAGCACCGCCTCTCCAATCATATATTGATCATCCAAATCAAATGTATTGATATCTCCAGGAAAATGGAACCACATTGGTGCCATGACTGGTTGACCATTTGCTTCTGAACGAGCAAATAATGTATACCAGTATGGAAGTAAATGATAACGAGCTTGTATTGCCTTTCTATAAAAACAAAAACGATCAATCTATCATTACATAAGTTCACAAATATCCGGCTAAATGAAGAAGTATTTCAGGAATTAACACGAACTGAAAACAATAAAACGATCATTACAATCTTAATACGAATAGTATGTAATAGTAAGAGATATGTATGTGCAAATGAATCACCACAGATTTTCTGAAAAGAAACTGAAAACTTTCAAATATATTGTCATTTATACAGAAATATGGAATAGAGATAAATCCATGAAATATTTAACTGAATATGTGAGAACATTATACCTTAGGCCTTTTTTATCGATAAACAGTGTTAACTTCTGGCATGATGATTAAGAAACTTTTTAGAGTAGTTTTTTTGAGAGTATGGCAGCAAGTATTCAAGAAAATGATTGCTTTAGGTATTGTTGAAATACGTGCTCAATATTTCTAGGTGCATACTGCATTTGCACAAATATACTGAGAAAAAAACTTCCTCTGATTGTAACTTCCAGGAAACGCTACGCTGCATACTACTGATGAGCCGTCCCGAGAGTAGAGTACACCATGATACATGTGGGAGAGATTTGAGCCATGTATCTCGCAGTAAAAGCATTTTCAATGATGCAGTTAAGGAATAGCTAAGCATTGAAATCAAGAAATAACTCGTAAGAAAAGGACGAAGACATCTTGTTACACATTAGTTTACACTGAAACGAATCGTTATAAACCCCAATGAATTTTTTCCACTGCATTTTAATAACATAAATTAACGCAGTAAATTACGTTTATACGTTATGCTATGAAGTATATTCATGTGGATTAATCATAACATCCGGATATCCATGAATGGAATAACTGGGGTGTTTCTTACAAAACATAATACTACTGAGGCAAATGGTTAGACCTTTAAACTAAAAGACATCCCACTCAAACTATGACCTTGATGTGATAATAACAAAGTACTTTACAGTTTTTAATTTATTGAAGCTAAATGGATTAGGATACACTTGCTTTCAATGAAATTAATCACATTTCATCATCATTTCTTGGTCAACAACTAGAAAGAACTGTTAAGTTAATCTGTTTGATGGAAACTGAAGAATGTTTAATTTCATGAAGTAATACCGGCAATTTTCACGAAGTAACTGATAAGTTTCTGTACACAGTAAGCAGATGGAAGTTGGTGATACTTTAAAGGCGAGGTCATAGTGATGAATATATTGAAACATAACAATAGGTTTCTTTCAGGTTTTAAAATTCAAAATCCAGTAGTAAAATCTATAAAAGTCATTAATCATAACTTGTGTTGAAGGTGCAATATTTTGTAACATTATTTATATTCTCTAAAAGCCTCAAACTGTGTGTTGAACCTTACCGTATCTTAATGTTATATCAATTAAACCTTATGCAAGTACCATCAGTTGACAAAAAGAATAATTTAGAATGAGGTGTGAGGAACCATAAATTCGTTTGGATCTAACAGTTAAGAGTTTTCATATCTCTAAATCGATTGGCTCAAGCATACTTTGAACGATATTCCGGATAATTAACTACTTTTTTAAATGCAGTTCTTCTTTTCCAAACTCACTGGTATATTCTGACAAGTTAACTGAATTGCTCTGTATTTTCACTCTTCTAACTAGAATTATTATTCAGAAACAATGATGGAAGTGCGATTGGATAGTTTAGATAAAAATATTAAAACCTAGTCTGGATGGCCGATCAATGTTATCATTACACAATTATATTATCATCATATAAAGCATCCGTCTCATATTTTCCTTGCAAAGAATTAATTATAACAAACAGGAAGCAATACTGCACTTACCGAATAGGATCAATATATTCCGAAGCTACTAGCCAAGGTTCACGGCGTTTGCTATCTATGTGTGCATGAGCTCTGAAGAATGGTTGATAAGCAGCCGCCTGATACCATCTTGTCAATAGCTCAGAATCTGGATTGCCGAAAAAACCTCCTACGTCAGCTCCACATAAGGTTATCCCTACGATCGACAAACTGAGGAGCATAGGAGTTGAAATCTGGAGTAACCAAAAATATCATGCATAGTTACTATGTTCATAAAACACAATCTATAGTCCTTAGGACAATCAGAGATTTTTAATATGTCTCAGAAATCAATGAAATAAAGTTTCCATAGTTAGATTAATAAAGTAATAAAGTTAGTAGTTTCAACGTTGACCCCACCTGTCAAGGTTTGGGCATACACACTAGTATCTTTGAAGGCAACCAAATGGTTGTTGTTCTCAACTCTCGAACACCAGGAGGAATTTGCTGTAATTTACGCTGTACTTTAACTTGTTGCAACAAATCCAGTCAGTCAGTCATTTGCAACATGAAACCTGAGACATATGTATGTCGGTTCAAGTTGCCGTACCTCATAAGCACGGAGAAATGAAATTGTCAAAACACCAACCCCCAGAGTAGTAAATTTACTAACAGTGCTAGTGGCGGAAAAAAACATTATGCATGGAAGATACGATTAGAGTAAAGAATATCGATTAGTGGAATAATAAGTTCATTATATAATTTACAAACTTAAGATCTAAGGGGATAGAAAAAGTGAATACATCTGTGCCAGTGAGAACAATCCCGAGTCATGTCATCCAACCGTTGAAAGAATTTTCTACGAATTACATGAATCAGGTTACAACTAGGATTGAGTTAATATAATAATCACAATTAGGTTTTCAATCGATTTCCATAGGGAAACTATGAAATCAAATATATTGACATAGTATCCATGGTTCTAGTTCAAATAAAACAGAAGTTTGTTCACGTCTCAGAGATAAATTGTATATAGGGTAAGGCGTACGTACCAACGAAGAAATTTCATTTGGAATCGTGTACTCCATAAATGTTATTGTTGAAAAATTGCTATTTTAACCAAATGTTATACACAAAGTATATCGTCAAAATAAAAGTGGAAGCTGAGGTCTACATATCTGAAAGATATGGACGAAATAAGCATTTTTGATCATCTTCTATTAGCTCCGCAGATTATACTGATAGATCATTTGCTGAAGAAATGGTTGAATTATAGACAAAAGAACAACCCTTAAAAACAATTCTGGAAATCATGATTACCATGACTATTCAGTAAAACATATGAAACTAAATAAAGCACACGGTTCTGTCAAAATTACTTACTAGATATTATTAAAATCATAAGCAAACTCTTTTAGCGAAAACAAATATCAGGATTAATAAATTACCTTCAGGTGTGACCAGTCAGCAGTATTGTCCCCAGTCCAAACAGCTGCTGTCCGCTGAGAACCAACAAAAAATGCCCGGGTTAACACAAAAGGACGTTCTACGCCGTTTGACCTCAACATGAGTCCATCCCAAGTTGACTTATGTACGTATAAGCCATACAAGTTATGCACATCACGATGTTCCCAATCACCAGCATGCTTAGCATCCTTAATGAAAAAACAAAAACATGTAGTGAAGAAAATTAATAAACAAGTGAATATGAGTATGGTGGGGTGGCGAAAGCAAGTGAGATGGAAAAAGCATCGGCAAAAGGTAACAGTAGACAACTGTTCCAACTTACCAAGGAAACCGGTCCGAGGAATCCGACTGTTGGCGAAATTCTCTCAGAAAAAGTGGTCGTATCATTCACTCTCAACCTAGGAGCTTGGATTGATGGGCAGAACACATCAGGGCTCAATTCAGTTGGCCTTCAATCACACTTTAGTTACTCACGATCACCAGTCAACCTGAATGGTGAATTGATGTAAGTCCTCCGACTCCTTAAGCGGTTGAAAAGGCTACAAGAAATCTAAGGCGAAGGAAAGCTGAAGGTCCTGATGGATTAAGCTCTGAGATTTCTAAGGATGGCGGTCCAATTTTAGCAGACAGACAGACAGATACAACGCAGACCTTCGAACATAAGTACATCAGTTCAGGTTGCCATACAACGTCAGCGCAGAGACGCAACTGTCATTTCAAATCCAAGAGTGATAGTGATAGTAAAAGTATTAGCGGTAATGGAGATTAGGGAGCGAAGATAAGATTCGAGAAGTATAATTCAGTGAGATAAAGTTAGGAGGAGAAAGATATAAATTATGAGGAATTCAGAAGGTTAGAATTAGAGAGAACGCAAACAATGAATGCACGTGCGCCATTGCAAACGATTCTGAGCCATGTCGTTCAAGGTCTCTAACCATTGGTGACTTTCGTCTCGCGGACCCCAACCAGGTAGCATACATCTGCCAAAATGACTCAATCCACTTGTCAATGACTTCACGGATTTCTGTCATGTTTTGGTCTGGCTGCCCCTTTCTTGCAACCTACTCCTACACTACAAAGCATAGCTCGTCGCGGCAGTCGGCGGTTAGGCATGCGTAACAGATGTCCCAACCACCTAAACTGATGAATTTCACTACTTCATCTATTGATCTGCCATCCTTACATTAGTACTCGTTTCCTAACGATAGCATTGATTACTCGGTCATCCCAGGATACACGAGCAATGCTTCGGATACACCTATGATCGAAGACTAGTAACCTAAGAATGTCCTCTACTCTTAACGGCCATGTTTCGCATCCGTATAGTAGGACAGAGCAAACTGCTGTGCAGTACAATCGTCCATAGGTTAACAAACAGATATCTCGCCTGCGCCATAAGTGACGCAGGTTGGCAAAAGCCAATCGAGCCTTCTGTATCCGAGCTGAGATTTCGTCACACACCAGGTCAGCAGGACTGATGAGACTCCAGAGAAAAGTAAGGTGGACAATACGCTCAACTACTTCACTCTGTTTCACTAGTCCAGGTGCTGATGCAAGCCAATCATGAAGCAAGATTTTGCATTTGATGGTAAGGAGTCGCATCCTGAACATGCTTGCATTGTTGCTTAAGGTGGTCAGAAGACTACATTTTGTTACTGTCTTCACCATACGGAACTATATCATTTGCATATTCTAAGTCAACAAGCGAATCTCCTGGTAGAAGGTCAACTCCTGAAAAGTCAGATGGTGAAAGTGTCGTTTCTAAAAGCATGCTAATCATAAAGTTAAACAAGAAAGGAGAAATGGGACAACCCTGACGGACACCACTTGAAGTAAAGAATTCCGGTGACAGTTCGCCATAAGCTCTCACTCGACCAGTGGTGTCCGAGTAGAGAGCTTGTATGAGGTTGATGTACTTCTTTGGTACACCTTTCAATGACAGACACTGCCACAGAACCTCAGGATCCACTCAGTCGAGTGCGGCCTTTAGGTCCAGGAAGAAAACTATTGTAGGACGCCTAAATGTGTGTCTGTGTTCCAGGACCTGACATAGTGTGAAGATGTGGTCTATACAGCCACGTCCAGGTCGAAAACCAGACTGGTTTTCTCTATTCTGCTCTTCACGTGCTTTCATTAAGCGTCGAATATTTTAGAAACTATATTAGTTACATTTACTCCCCTGTGATTGTCACAAGACTTGTGTCCTTTCTTATGGATTGGGACAATCAGTGATTGAGACCACTCGGATGGGATTACGCCTAATTCCCAGATTATACCTAAGATCTCGGTCAGTCTAACTGTCAAAACTGGACCACCATCCTAAAAATCTCAGGGGTCAATCTATCAGGTCCTGCTGTTCTCTCTCGATTCAGATTTCCTAAAGCCTTTTCAACTTCATTAAGACTAGGTGGGCGTACGTCGATTGGCCGTTCAGGATGACTGGAGATCATGGGTAGCCGAAGTGTGGTTGAAGGCCAGTTGAACTGATCCCTAAAGTGTTCTGCCCATCGATCCAGCCTCCTGGATTGAGAATGGATAATAAGACCATCCTTTTCCAAGATAGCCTTACTAAAAGTTGGATTTCGAATACCGGTTTCCTTAATAAGACGGAACAACTGTCTGCTACTGCCTATCGCCGCTGCCCTATCTATCGCTTTTGCTTTCGCCACCTACCACTGTTCGCGATAATTGCGTAGGCTTTTTATCAGCCTGCGCTTAAGCTGACATCGCTCTTCATCATGTTCAGAGCCAGGTGGGATGTGTTTACGAGCGTTTATCAGCTCAGTGGATGCTACTGAGATCCACGGCTTCATCTTAGGCTTATGGTTTACCTTACTAGCAGATATCACTGCTGTTTCCACAGCCTTTTTCATATCATTCCAACCTGCCTCCGGATGGGAATCACTTACATGGTCGCCTAACTCTCTTCCTAGTTGTTCCTGGAATATATTCTTAGCCTCATTATCATTAAGTAGAACCCTAACATGTTTCCTTGAGGTGTCTTTCTACGTCCAGTAAGCCTCAAACAAATACGCGCTCGCACTACGGCATGATCTGAATCTAGACATATGCCACAGAACGAGCGACAGTCCTCTATCGAAACCCTCCGTCGGTGTCTGATGGCAATGTGATCTAGTTGCGTCCAACGTTGAGACGACTTTGGGGGTCGCCAGGTCAACAGATGTTTTTCCTTATGTCTAAAGTTAGTGTTTGCTAGAAATAGGCGATTATCTGAGCATACTTACAACAGAAGGGTCGCCATTGTCTGTTCTCTGAGCCGCGACACCATAACAACCACGAAAGTGTCTCTCCTGCTTACTTAGTCTACCTACTTGAGCATTAAAGTCACTAGCCATTATAACTATATCAGAGCGCTTAACTTTTTGGAGGGGGTCCGAAAGCTTTCCGTAAAACTCATCTTTCACTTCGTCTGAACTGCAGTCATTAGGGGCTGATATGACGAAGAGGCAACGACGAGTGTCCCTATCCTTCCGAATCCTTACTGTCCCGTTTAGTCGGACAGAGCACAAGCGACTATCTACAGGGATCCAGTCTAGGAGAGCTAGTTCTGTCCTAGGACTCAATGCTATACCTACGTCAGCGAGCCCCCGAGAAGCAGCATAAGGGTTTCCTGATACACGAAGAGTAAATCGGGTGAAATCAGATTAATGATTTTACTAGGATCCTGTATGCACGTTTCCGAGACGCAGAACACATCGATAACACGAGATTCTAAAGTCCTAGCTAATGATGCTTGTTGCCCTATTTGACACAATGTCCGTACACTAAATGCTCCAACATGTAGTTTAAAACGGGGTTTAAGGAAACCAGGAACGACGTTTCGTGAACTCGCATCGTTCGCATTGGCTGTGCAGTGAGCTGAAGGAATGCGACTAGAGATAGTCGTAGAGATATGAGAAATATCAGGGGGTGTAGGAATGATTGGATTTTGAACAATTTGGTCTCGTGTGCTGTTACGGGTATGAGGGCGATTGTCATTTCCCGGCTGCCCACACACCGTGGAAGGTTGTTTCTTGAGGGACCTGAACAGGAAGATAGATTAATGTTGGTCTTAGGGACCTGAGCTCGTGACCGCAGAGCCCAGGGGACAACTGCTTGAGGCCGGTCACGCACGGCCTTTTTATGAAATGTTTTTTGAGGATTAGCTCCGTTCTTAAAGGCCCTTAGTGGGCACCCTTACCGACGGAGACGGAAATCCGTGAGGTAGAGTGAGGTGTGACATTCTCAGGGTCGACCTTTTCTAACCCTTCCTTCCTTGTGAGAAGGCAGCATGGCTGCAGATGCTGGTTGTCCGAGAGAAACACCTTACTGCTGTCACACCCCTCTGCAGTCAGCAGTATGACTTCACCCTCAGAAGTTGAGTAACTGCTTATAGTCTCATCGTTCTCCAATCGACCTGCCTGGCATGGTAGAACCTTCAGGAACATATGTTCCAGCCAATATAGCTCGGTTGGGTCATCACGATAGGCGAACCCGACCACCACGTCACGATAGCAGTTACGGTCGGCCAGTTTTAGCAGTTAGGTCGACTGAGATCTTAGGTAAAATTTGAGGAGTGGACGTCATCCCATCCGACTGGTCTCTATCACTGATTGTTCCGGTCTATAAAAAAGGGCAAAAGTCCTCTTGTAAAAATCACAATTTAACTAATATAGTGTCTAAGATATTGGCTTTAATAATACTTAGACGTCTGACTAAAGCTCGCGAAGAGCAGCTCGAGAAAACTAGACTGGTTTCAGACCCGGAAGTGGACGTATAAACCAAATTTCCAAAATTCGTCACGTCTTAGAATACAGACACACATTTCGACGGCCGAAAATTACTGTACTCTGACTTTAAGGAGGTATTCGGCTCTCGATCGTGAGTTTCTGTGGCAGTGTCCGTCATCGAAAGGCGAACTAAGGTAGAACATTAACCTTGTGCAGGATCTCTACTCAAACACTAATGGTCGAGTCAGAGCTTATGGTGAGCTCTCATAGTACTTCAAGTAGTGTTGGTCAGGGTCTTCCCATTTCTCCATTCTTGTTTAACTTTATGATTAGCATGCTTTTAGAAACGACACTTTCACCATCTGACTTTTCAGGAGTTGACCTTCTACCAGGAGATTCGCTTGTTGACTTAGAATATGCAAATGATATAGTTCCGTATGGTGAAGACAGTAACAAAATGTAGTCTTCTGACCACCTTAAGCAACAATGCAAGCATGTTCAGGATGCGACTCCTTACCATCAAATGCAAAATCTTGCTTCATGATTGGCTTGCATCAGCACCTGGACTAGTGAAACAGAGTGAAGTAGTTGAGCGTATTGTCCACCTTACTTTTCTCTGGAGTCTCATCAGTCCTGCTGACCTGGTGTGTGACGAAATCTCAGCACGGACACAGAGGGCTCGACTGGCTTTTGTTAACTTACAGAATGGGCGAGATGTTTACCGTGCAGCAGTTCGTTCCGTCCTACTTTATGGCTGTGAGATATGTCCAGTAAGAGTAGAGGATATTCGTAGGTTATTAGTATTCGATCATAGGTGTCTTCGACACATTGCGTGCATAGCCTGCGACCATCGAGGAAGCAATGCTGTTGTCGGGAAACGAGTACTAGGTAAAGATTGCAAACCAATTGGTGAGGTTGTGAACCTTCCACCTCTCCGTGCTAATATGGTTTGACAAGTAGACTGATGTACGTACACATCAAGTTCTGCGTTGTTCTGACTGACTGACTGATACTTTGTTACAATGATCAGTGAAATCTATTTCGACAGAGATTTCGAAATATGCCCAAATATTTATCTTTATTTGTGTCTTGTATTATATAAAATAATAAATTCGACCACAAAATATTGACAATACATATTCCTATTAATGTATACGCAAGCCATGACCAATCTTAAAGCTAAAATCCACAAAAATGAAAACAGGACTTGACTAGAAAGACTCTAATGACCTGCTCGCCCATAAAATACACTGATATGGTCGAGAATGTTCAGTTCACTCTCTCGAAATACTCACACAGATACGCGTATATAGCCACTGACAGAAAAGTTCTACTCACTGAATTCTCGTGCTGGAGGTGTTGTGTACGAAACTGATAGGAGTAAGAGTGAATGTCTGGCACCTAAACCTGGCCTAAACTAATAACTGATATATAAATAATAAGCTGCTTACTTTATGCATAGTGACTTCAGGGCCATTGAAAACTGATGGTTCACCCATATCATTCCAGGTAAACATGGAATCTTTGGCAACAGGTTCATAAGTAAGAAATAAATTTGACCACCACTGTTGTACAGATTTGTCAGTAAAATCAGGCCAAGCACTAGATCCAGGCCAACACCAACCATCGAATTCGTTCCCATCTCTAGTCTTGACAAAAATCCCATTATTTTGGGAATTACTAAAATGAAGAGATTTTGAGGAGCGATTTTGATAACGTATAAATCTATTCATCAGAATGTGTTTATGTTCACAATACAAAGAAATACTTAACAAACATAAACAAATCCACCCTCTTCATAGATAAGTTACTGATGGCTTCGTTTAGACAAACAGGTTCGAAAAATGGATCAACTCAACATTTCAATATAGACTAGTTGCTGAACTTCTTGCATACAAAAATATAAGATGACTAGAATACTCCGTACAGAATTACTGAGCACTTTTTACTTTATTACTTGTACTAATATCCGTGTCCAAAATATAACTAGTGGTAATACTAACAAGTTTTATTACCTTCAAAATCTTAACTTTCTTTAAGACGATGATAATTCAGACCTCTAAAAATCTTATCATATGGTTAATACCTCTAATAGAGACATTTCAATATTATCCAATAAAAGTGTGTGACTGCCTGACTGCTAAACACCTCCAGCAACCCATTCAGACAAAAGTATGAATCAAAACAGATTGTAGAAATCTTTAGTAAAGTCTAACAACAGAGAAATCTTTTGATACATTGTCAGTTATCTACAAGAATATCAAGGTAGTCATCACGTCTACTATGGAGTTTATAAACGCTTCCGATAAAAATAACATAATTCCTCACAAAAATTTCAATCGCCACACTAAAAGCATAGAAAGCAAATTGGTAAAAGTGGTGACAATCAAACAACAACATGGGTCAAAAAATGGAACTAGGTAATGAGTAGCAAAGCGTTTACTATAAACGGAATATCTCACCTAATTGAATTAAGACTGAAGTAATTCTAATGCTTTCCTAATTTTTGAGTTCATTTCTCGTCTTTAAAGTATAATAAGACAGTTTAATAAATTGATTAAGGACCCTATTTAAACGTAGATATCTCTGAGGACAACCAATATTCTGTCGAAATTCGAGATTTCTTTTGAAACAATCTTTTACTAACTACTAATAGTGTCATCTCTTTTTATTGATGGTGATGCTCTTTCATGACATTAGTGGTAATAAAAAATCCCCCCAAAACCATCGATTTTTAGTCTTCCAGAATGAGAGGGCAGGAGAGCCAGGGATGTTTGGTGGGAACATATTTATGACCTTACTTAACTCCCGGAAGTAACCCTCTCTGAGACAAAATGAATTGCACAAACACGAACAAATATAAAACTGGACATTACGTTCATTCCAATTTATTTTCTGAGTTGAGCTGCTTGAAAATTTATTATCTGATCCAAGTTTGCAATGTTTTTTTTACAGTGCTAAGGTATAATAAGTTAGATTTATTGGCTTGTTAGTCGTTGGGATGTAAATGAACATAACGACAAAATCTCTGTACCAGGATTAAAGACATCTTTGTGATTTACAATGCATTCATGCATTAGTTTTAACATAACTGTCCACTGCTCCGATTTGGTACTTTTTATCGCTTAGCAAGGTAAAAAAGAGGCAACCATACAGAAAATCGGTTCAGTAGGATCTTCATCATAATGAGAAAGTTTACCCAATAAAGATTGTTTATGGGAATACATACATTAATAGATTTCAGTAAATGCCCAAAAACGGGAAAATTACCTGAATAAAGGCCAATTAGGGTCACGTTTAATGTGAGGATCAACAACCGTAACGAGCTTTCGACCTTTAATATTCAGTTTATCAACTATTTCTTTTGGATTCGGAAATTTGGTTTTATCCCAAGTAAAATAACGTTTTCCATCAGTGTGTTCAATATCTAACCATAAAACATCAACAGGCATTTCATATTCATCAAAATGCTTATCTACGGATAGTAAGTCGGCTTCATCATTATAGTTCCATCTACATTGATGATAACTAATTGCAAACAGGGGTGGTAAACTGGTGGTACCTACCACACTAGAATACGAATGCATTACTTCAGATGGAGTACTACCCATAAACACATACAAATCTATCAAGCCGGACTCAGATATCCATTTTGTTTGAACGGATGATTTCTCTGGTTTTTTCATAAAGAAACTGGAAAATATCCCATTATTTTGTGAATTTGAGTAATCAATCTCGATCCATGTCTCCGATGGATTAAGCCATAAGACTCCCACAGTGCTGTTTATATTGTGTCCCCACATAACGGGGACAGAACCATATAAAGCCATTTTATTATGCACCTCATATTCAAATACGTCAAGATTATAAAGTCTGTAGGGGTCACCATTACTTGTAGACTTTAGAACGAATCCATCAGCATGTTCTGGGATCCCATAAACGTGACTGAATCCCTGAAAATCGAAATCCATCGAGATGGAGTTTAAGCCATGAGGTCTTGTGTCAAGATGTTCCTTGAAATACTCTGACCATGACTGATCTTCAGGAACGGAGTGCTCTGTGCTAATATTTTGTTCATCCTCCTTGTTTTCATTGGTAGCAGTAGAGTCTTTTGAAATATCTGTATTTCCTGATAGATCTTCGGAAGTGTTTACAGAAGATATATCAACCTCATGATCTTCATTTGGTAGCGTATGGTTATCATCTTTAGAGACCGGAGGTTTACTGATTACGGGTTTTTTTCTCTGATGTTCGAAATTTAAAAGGCCCCTCTTATTTGCTGATGCCACAACTACATCATTCAATAAAAACTCAATATAAAAGGGATTATAGTACACGACTGCCTTGTATCCAAACTGTCCTTCCAATACCAAACTATTTTCAGCGAACACACAATTGATAGGAGCCTTCTGAACACCTGGCAAAACTACATCTCCTATGGGTACCCGAAATCTCCTATACTCATCTGTCAATTCATTAATGAGTACATGAAAGACGGAGTGTTGGTTATAGGTAACATCCAGAGACAGTGAATGGTTTTGATCTTCAGTGTAAATAGTTGCAGTTATTCCATAAGGGTTTATCTTGACAGAACTTGGTTCTAACCAGTGTGTAATATCCCCAGGTTTTAATTGTCGTTGTCGCGCACAGAACCTGAAGTATGAATGAACTATGAAATAGTTTAACTTACGAGCTCTGATCACAGGTTTTGAAATTAGCACGATCTACAGACCATGAGGTATTTAGCATCAAGGAAAGTAGAAATAAACTCGCTAGCCTCAAAAGCATAGTGAGCAAACAGTATCAACAAGTTAAGGGCTTTTGTTTGATGAAAAATTGATGGAAATAACTTGGGTTGTAGTCCTCCAGGTCAAAGGAGGTAATCAGTCTAAAAAAGGAAAAAGGAGGGACAATGGGTGTATGTTAAGCAACTACGTAAATAAAAGGCATAAGAGAAAATGACACACCCACAAACTAGGAAACTGGAATAATAAAATTCGAGAGCTACTTTTGGAGATCCTGAATTCGACCTGTCTTTGTAAAGACACTAGATAAACGATGGGGATGTCACCTTAGTGAGACAGCGTCAAATGCAAAGTGATAATTAGCTGTAAATTCTGTAAACACCCCAGAGCCCGTTTAAGAGTAATCGAACCAGTAACCATGAACAAGCACAACAGTAATACTCTAAACAAACATCTTCCGTATTATCTAGATTATTGATCAGCGAATCAAGGTAACTACTTTGTGACTAATAAAACTTCCCGGACGCCCAAACTGAAGCAGGTGGTCTACCTAGGGTTTCATTCCCTGATCCTTTGACCCAGAGGTCTAATCCACAAAGTAGTGGAGCAACGGGAAATGTAATCCCATGGTAGCCGGTGACCAACCATATGTTCATACGCCATTTATTCCCCTAGGACCCTGAGGCTTGTTTGCACCATTTGTGTGAAACCAGGATTTTCCGGCCCCCGTAGGTGGATTCACCATACTTATCAGGCAGGTTTAGGCGCCAGACATTTTTTTCTTAGTCTTATCAATTTCGTAAACAACACCCCCACCACAAGAATTCAGTGAGGACTTTTCTCAGTGGCTACATACGCATATTTGTGTGAGGATTTCAAGAGGGTGAACTCTCACCAATCTTGGCAGTACCGATGCATTTGGGGCAACCTTGTGAACAGTATTGTAGTCCACCGCACAGAAAACATGATAAGACTATCAAGAACTGAAATCCAACAAAAGGAACTCAAATTTCTGTGAAAACAGCACGTTAGACTTGTACGAAAAGTTGTTTTCATAGTAGGTTGAGTTAATTTCTTACACTAAGGTCAGCCAGTCGGTCAGACCGACTAGGGTTAATCCAACTACAGCACAATTTTGACGGATTTGCTTAGACCATATTCTACACCAATCACACGACTGATATGTACATTAGTCAACCCATCACATAAAATACTGTGACTTTCACAAACACTGTGGACTTCAAATATTCTGCTGAACTCTGATGTCTGGAATATAGCATTTCCAGGAACATTTCGTTTTCGACTTTCTAATATTACATTTATTCGAACATTTTATGCGAATGAATAGATCTAAATACAATATACCAGACTGATTACGAACACTAACAGGGGGTCGCAAATTACTTAGAGTCGAATAGACACTACAGACATATAACAGAAAATAAGTCGAAGACAGGCTAAGAACTTAGTGCCCAATAACAATAAAAACTGAATGCAACTAACAATAATTAGCAATATCGGAAATATGATGTTGAAGAGGTCCGATAAATAAAACTTGAAGTGAGCAAAGCAAGTCGCTGAACGCGTCACACGACCTACAATCGAAACACGCGCTGGTGAGTATTAATTCCGATAATGAATAATTCCAAAGAACTAAATTTCATGAGGACCAAAAGGCCAAGTCTGCCACTCTGTGAGTACAGCATATCATAGCAACAAACCATTGAGATATCCATTTAAAGTCTTGAAGATGTACAAACAAGTTGCGTTTTTTTGACAACTCTATATTTTTCGAAAAAAGGAGTGTGCATCAGTTATCCTGCGTTAATCCTGGCAGAATATCATAATTTTGCTCGGAGCCATCTACTGATGTGGCGGACACTCCAATGAATGACCGAAATATCAGGTTTTCATTTATTATAACTCTATGAAATTTGCATGACCAACCTAAAACGAAACCATATTTGAGACTTCGACGTTTTAATGAGTTGAAGGTTTGTCAGGCACTTCTTATATCTAATACCATTTTCAAAAGCTATTATAAACCAGCTGACTTCTTTGCTCTCGATTCTTGTTCTTTCGGTAAGATCCCAGGTGTCTAGTAGTGTCTCATGGACGGAAGTCTAGCCATTCGACTGCCTGATTCTAGTCAGTTGGCATCATATGGCTGAATTTAATCAAGTAGTTTAAGGGAATACAAAATAAAATAAATAATATTAATCTGCTGATATCCCAGAAAATGTGGACAACAATGCTAAAATGGGGAAGTTCATAAAACAGTCATCAAAACTAAGGAATCCGTCGACCGAACAAGTTCCTCAGCTCCTATTTTCTTCAATTCTCTGTTCCTGAATGGTGGCTGAAACTGTTGAGACATTCTATGCTAATAAACGCTAGTTGCCGTCTGTGATTTACATGTATCCGGAAATGCCGTAAAATGCAAGAACTAGGCACTAAGGTGAATTGGAGCTAACCACTCTACTGGTGGACCGTCAAGGGCCAGAAAAAAATTGTAGAAGACAAGGATAAGAACAGCGAAATTGGTGGATGGAGCACTTTAAGGAACTCTTGAATCGACCAGCTCCACGGAACACACCTAACATCGAAGCAGCATCTACGGACCTCCCAACAGTTGAGCAGATGAGCATGGCCATCAGACAAATCAAGAGCAGCAAATCAACATAACCAGACAACATTCCAGAAGAGGCAGTGAAAACAGATGTGGAAGCAACTGCGAAAATATTTCACATCCTCTTCAAGAAGATTTGGGATGAGGAACAAGTACCATCAGATTGGAAAGAAGGATACCTCATCAAAATACCAAAGAAAGGCGATCTCAGCAAGTGTGAGAACTACAGAGGCATCACTCTTCTTTCAATACCAGGCAAAGTCTTCAACAGGGTATTGTTAAACAGAATGAAGGACTTCGTAGACGCCCAACTTCGAGATCAACAGGCCGGATTTCGTAAGGATCGATCGTGTACTGACCAAATTGCTACATCACGGATCATTGTGGAACAATCAATTGAATCGAACTCACCACTCTACATCAACTTCATCGACTACGAGAAAGCATTCGATAGAGTAGAGTGGATAGGAAAACACTGTGGAGGCTTCTACGACACTACGGTGTGCTTGAGAAAATAGTTAACATCATACGGAATTCTAATGATGGATTCAACTGCAAAATCGTGCACGGGGGTCAGCTGACAGACTCTTTCAAGGTGAAGACCGGTGTCAGCCAAGGTTGCTTACTCTCACCCTTTCTCTTTCTCCTGGTCATCTACTGGATTATGAAAACGTCAACATCTGGAGGGAAGCACGGAATCAACTGGACAGTTAGGACGCAGCTGGAGGATCTGACCTTCGCAGATGACCTGGCTCTTCTATCGCACACTCAACAACAAATGCAAGAGAAGACGACCAGTGTAGCAGCAGCCTCTGCAGCAGTAGGTCTCAACATACATAAAGGAAAAAGCAAAATTCTCCGATGCAACACAAAAGGTACTAACCAAACCACTCTTGCTGGAGATGCCTTGGAGGACATTAACACCTTTACATATCTGGGCAGCATCATCGACGAGAAAGGTGGATCGGATGCAGATGTGAGGGCATAAGTTGGCAAAGCAAAGGCTGCATTTCTACAATTTAAAAATATCTGGAACTCCAAACAACTTTCAACCGAAACTAAAATCAGGATTTTCAATACAAATGTGAAGACAGAACTACCAAAGCCATCATCCAGAAGATACAAGTGTTTATGAACAGTTGTCTACACGAAATACTTCGGATTCGTTGGCCAGACACTATCAGCAACAACGCACTGTGAGAGAGATCAAACCAGATTCCAGTGGAGGAGGAAATCACGAAGAAGCGGTTGAAGTGGATAAGACACACTATGAAAGGCACCTAACTGCGCCACAAGACAAGCCCTCACATGGAACCCTCAAGGCAAAAGGAGAAGAGGAAGGCCAAGGAACTCAAGTGCAAGAACTTGGATGGTAGTACTGGAAGAAATATCAACGAATCGGTTGTTATGTCCCAATGGCCGAGCCAACAAAGAGCTTCTGAGAGAATAATATCATTAGGCATTACAACCGTATCACACGACTCTCAGCAACGATGCCTTCTCTTAAACGTAGGAGGCATCTCTGAATGGAACTTACATGTTGGTATGGTTTATCAAAAGCTGCATCATCTGAACAATGACGGTCCTTCTAGCATGCACATGCCTCACCTTGCTATTTTGAATGAAGAGGTTTTATTCTTGACAACACTCAGAGTGATATCCCTACATTCGCTACGTGAGTGTATGGTCACAAACACTTGGAAACAGAGTCGCATCATACGTGTTTTTGTAAAAAGCTGAAGCAGTGAATCTTCAAGCTATCGGCTAGTAACATTCCTTTCAGTACCCTCAAGGTCATGGAGGTTTTGGTACATGATGATCTATGCAAGCATCTATTGCCAACAAACTTTTTTGGCCCTATCAACATGGTTTTATGAAGGAATACTCCTGTGTATCCAACCTGCTGACTGGGATGAACAGATGGCCGACTGTTCTAACCGCCAAATGAAGGCTGATGTGATATTTTTTGGTCATTCACAGCCTCTTGGTAAGGAAAATCACATGTATCTTATGAATAATCTATAACTGTTGGATGATTTGATATTTAACTGTCAAAAAAATTGCTTGTAAACGTTCTTTTACTAGTTCTGAGTTACTCAACCCACTTCTTCTTCTGAAACCAATTTCTTATTGATCTCTGTCTTACTACTTTTCGTTGGCCCCAGTGGAGCATAGGCCGCCGACGATCATTCTCCAACCTACTCTTTCCTGGTTCTCCTTTTCAGCTCTTCTAATCTGCGCCATCACATCTGCGCCAGATCAACCCTGCTCATCATTGATGTTCCCAAGGTATGTGAAGGTCTGTACAGCTTCCAAAGCCTCTCCACCAAATATGATTTGTTTGGTGCATATCGTGCTGTAAAATAAATGGTCTCTGAATATGCGACCTGCGTACACTGCTAAATAATGAGTTAGACATGCCATTAACAAAAGGTTGGTTGACTGATTAACTTGGAAATAAAAGTGAGGGAGCTATATCACACTTAGCAAGGTGCACTTTTCAAGTAAGAGGCAATTTGAAAAAGTGCCATTTACCTTTTGTTTTCTAGAACGTGACTCAGCGAGTCATAAATTGACAGCCTTTACATTGTCACACATAAGTTTGTTAGTAGCGCCAGCAATTCTCCATTCGGTTGAGTCGGTCCTTCCAACATTGGCGGATAGAAGAGTCACGGTTCTGTTGCGCTCGTCTCTAGGTATGCTTAAACTATTACGAGTCCACCTTAGTCGAATAACAAGAACAAAACAATGAACCAGCGTCCAGGTAGGCTACTGTGATCCCTTGACCCAACTGTACCAGCAAGAAGTCTTGATATAGCGTAGAAAGTGTATTCTAAAAACACCCAGCCAGCACACAATGAGTCCAAGCACTCAAATTGCGTTTATTTATATTCTATAGAGACGTCCTTGGAACAGTCACAAAAATAGCACACTAAAATGACACAATAACCAATCACAGCCAAGGATGTTTCTGGTCGGAAATGTGATCTCAAGGTCAACTGACCGGCCCATGAAATAAATCCAAAATAAAGATATTTACCAAGCGAGTTCTGAGGATCCAACATCCCAAACAGGTTTTGTTTGAGTGCAATGTAGCTGTTGCCCATCAAGTTCTAGAGGAAAGATTCAGAAGTAGCAACGAGTTGTGTGCCATTGGTTTATTAGAGGCTCGCTTTCGTCGACGGTTGTAGTTACCCATGCTAAACATGTGTGACGCCATATATTGAAGGAATATTAAGACATACTTTTAGTAAAGAAGTCAAAAACATTATCTCGAAGGAGGAAGCACTGACTGCAGGAGATATCAAAGCAGTGCAGCTGGAAGAGCAATGGCGTGAATTTAAAAGTGGCCATTTATCAATAGGCCTTCCCTGGTGGGGAGAAAGTGAAAGCATACTATGTGTTAAGGAAAAAATTCTTTGGAAATCCCCGTGCAGCTTTTTATTTGACAGTGTTACTTGTTTGCCCTTTCACTAAGTTTTGGATTTAACATTTAACCAGGACTTCTGTCACTATGTTTCAGTTAATAATTGTTGGGGATTTTAGATCTCCAAAACTCACTTGCTAAATGCCTTATTTTGGATTTCACGTTTGCCAGCATGGGTTGATCAGTTGGCCTTGAGATTTCATTTCCCATCAGGAAAATCCATGGCTGTGATTGGCTGCTGTGTATTTTAATGTGCTATTTTCTTAACTGTCCTAAGGACGTTTCTATGATGCATAAATAAACGGGAGTTGTATGCTTGATCGTACTGTGATTGCTGGGTGTTTGTAGAATACACTTTCTACGCTTACAAAGCTATTTTACTTCGGCCTTGGATTCAAGGTAGCCTACATGGACACTGGTAAAAGTCTCGTTCGCGTTATCGACTAAGGTAAACTCGTAATAGCCTTAAGCATTCTTAGTGACGAACATAATATTTGGCGACGGGGATGGGATCACATTGATCATTTGAAACTTGAACTATTACCCGAGCAGCAGCTGAACTAATGAAGAAGTTGATGGAAACCAAGCTGCATCGTGACACGACTATGGTGGTTCAAGTCAATCTGACTTTGAGTATTGTATCTGCCAACTAACCAGAGTAGCTGTGCCCCCTGCTGCATCCAGTCCACCTCACTTCAGATCAATCCGATAGCCGATCTAAAATCAGTCTGTTAGATTGGTTCAAATAGCCAACATTAGCAGATGTCCCATCAAGCATATAAGAAGAAGACAACCCGCTCAGAAGTACCTGAGACTGGTCCTCATCTCCGTTCCAGAAATATCCTCCCGGACAGCAGCAAACAACAGTTCAGATCCAAATAAACCGTCGTGTGTCACCTCAATTTCTTCAGAGGGAGGTGTTAGGGTATTCATCAAATATCCTAAGAGAATTATTGGTCAAATCCTATTGGTCGAAATTATGGTCGTTTTAACTGTCAACGTCAAATACTTCAATGTTGTCTCTTATTGGTCATCCAGACTGTCAATATCATTTCAAATATTACTTCCTATTATCCGTCTTAGCTGTCAATGCCACAGAGATTGGTGCTGTTCCTATTCCACCAAAATGTATAAATACGCATTATCTGTAACATTTTATAACCAGGACCAGGACCAGGACCCGGTCCCGGATCCCTAGTCCGGGATCCTGATTCTCTTCTGGATTCGGACCTCGTACTTTCTGGATGCTTCTAGAATACATGTTCTACTCCACATTCAAGTCTTCTTATTTTCACTAAATATGGGGGTTGGGATAATTGGGTTTGAGTAGCATGTCGTGTCAATGGATCCTCGATCCTCGCTCTCGTTTCCCGACTAGGTAAACTCGTATTAGTTCAAGTATATCAAGCTGACATGTTTACGTGCATGCGTAACAATAATGTTTGACTGAAGGTTTATTCTGCTGTTGCTTGCATCGGAGTCAGTCGCAGTTAGGCTGTGTCTGTTGTAGAATTCTGTTTGAATGTTTTGTGTTTTGGAAAATCCCTCCATGTTTACATATTTTTGCTATGACATGATGGACTTTTTCTCTTGACATTTTTGGTATTTTATTTGATTCCAATTTGAGATTTTATCATTGTATATTGTTATTCTTTCTATATTTTGTACTTATATTGAAGTTTTTGTGTTTGCTTCTGAACTGTACATATATTGTTTAAATTTGATATAATATGGCTACCGCCACATTTTTGGATGGACGCGGTGGCTGCTGGACTTGGTGTCACTTACTAGTTATTGTGTTGGATACTCTGCGGAGTAATTTAACCCTGGAAGGAACACAAATTCCGTAAGACTTTGTATTTCCATTTTATAATAATATAGAGACGTTTTCTCCTAGAATTTTGCCCTTTTTGATTTGGTCGGGACCCGGAACTAGGAGGAACGTACAGGAGTGTTTCTATAGGAAACAATTGGGACAGCCACTGTCGAAATAAATCTACATCTGTTAAACAGAAGATTAGGGCATAGTTACTGTGGTGATCGATAACATTTGACTACTTGGTGTGAATAGTTGAGTGAATATTCGATCCATCTTATTGGGGATGTTCTTGTTGATTGGCAGGGATCGAATGCTTATTTATCAACTATCTGTTTTGCTACAAAGTACTCCATTTCGTTCAAATGAAACACCTGAAGCACAGGCTGTATCATGTAGGGTGTTTTACAATTTTGATATAGCTTGTTTTTGTTCTTGAGCTGGAACGGCTTAATTTGAGCATAGAATTTGTATTTCGATTTTTGATTTTTACCAGTCGCACAAAATGCTTCCTTCGCTATACAAACGAACACGGTTTACCCTAACAGAACAAACCCTGGCTCGTCAACTCTATGTTCGTTTCAGCAAGTAGTCTCAAAGCTGTATTCACTTACACTGATAAATTTAGCAAAGAATTAGGAGAGATTGACAATTCGAAGAAAACCATCTAGGTGTACAGAATTACTGTTCATCTATTCAGTGCCACGTCTTGATCTTTCTGTTCCAGCTTTGTGCAGCGTTCAGCGATCACTGAATTTGGATCAGATAAACCAGAATGGGGAAAGGTAGCAGACGAGCACTTTCTCGTCGAGAATTGTACCGCGTCCTTTGATAACATAAATGTGACTCAGTGTTTTGCGACTGATTTTCTAGATGCAACACAAAAGATGGATTTCATTTAACAAAGTTTGTTTCTAATTATAAAGAAGTATTAACAAGAATAGACCAGTAAGACTAGGCTTTGAAAATGCGTGGTTCTTCTATGGAACCATCATAAATGGAACATACTCTTGACGTACTGTGGAACGTAGTAAAAAGTGCGTAGGGCGTCCTGATTGATGAATTATACGAATCAGTGGCCAAAAGTGGAATGTTATCTAGGTTATCGTTCTCACTTGGTCCACCTGAACTGCTCTGTTCATCCTTGTGAACAGAAACTGAGTTGGACTCTAGTAGCTGATAAAGTGTTGAAAATAGACCGGGCAGAATAGGGAAACTGTGAGTTGGCTGGAAGCAACAAGCAGACGGATCTGCATATATTCTGTGACTCTTAGGAAAGAGGAAAGGTAATACCTATGTACAGTCGTTAACTTGATAGTGACCAGTAACGTGGAAGATTGTTACTGGCAAAAGCTTTTGAGGCCCCTTTAAAAATTATTATCATATAGCGTCTAGAAGTGAGTGCCGTCATCCATGCCGTCCTGATGGACAGAACAATAAGGAATGAACTTTACTGTCCAACTGTGAAAAGCATATTTTGGATAGCCTTCATGACGGTGATATACTGCTTGAGTAAACAGCCTGCTTGCTATGTTCGTTCAATTGCTAATAGAGAAACCCTTGTACTTGTCGGGGACGTCAGATCCTAGAAACTCACTCGAAAAATTTCCGGGTTTGTTGTCTTATCTTGAAATTTCGAATTTTATGTTTTCGTGACAAGTAAGCTAATTTTGACATTCGTTTCACACTCAGGAAATCCTTGACTGTCATTGGTTGATGGATTATTTTAGTGCGCATATATTTGCCATAAGAGGCGCGGTCCTTCAACGCTTTCACATCAACATTTCTGTTATTCTACTTCTTTAAAAAAATTCCTTAATGATACTAACTGACTCAATTTAGTGAGGAAGAAACCGCATCGTGCATAAAAACTGATCTTAAGTGAAAACTGGCCTGACGACTTTTAAACCTGGTTATTGTGGATAAAGCATTAATTTTAGTTTCGGTTAATTTAAGTGAATTCGGAAATAGAATTCCAGACTAAGGAAATTTATGGGATGATCATTGATCTGAACATATTTCGGTTTGATTGTAAAATAAGTCAAACCAGAAAGCAACAGGTATATTTAAAGAATTGTTGGGATGTCGAGGATTGCTTCCGTTATTGGAACGATATATCTACTGTATAAAAAATTACTGCACCGCACAAATAATCCAATCTCCTTTTTCCTAGAGCAATAGATATTTTATGTTGCTTGAATAAACCCGTGCCCATCACTGAAATTTTGATATCTGATAAATCTGGAACACAATCTGAGATAGATCATTGTTATTGGAGAGATGTTAGTTTCTTTTGCCAGAACAATGAGATGTAGCTGGTCCAAAAAATGTAATGTATTTGGGCAATTTCATTTAATAGGAAAATTAATGAGGGTCGATTAAATAGAAATTTATATAATGAAAAGTTGATAATTGTAAATAAAGGAGAGAGAAAATTAGCATACAACAGATGGAACAGGAAAGGGTAGGATGTTTTCAAATTATCCTAGGCCATAAAATGAATTGGTAATCTTGTGGCTATTTCATTGAAAAGTACTTTCGTACAATGCTTTCGGGTTTTGACCTTCGTAGGCAGTCTCCTAGAGTGGTTTAGGATACAACACATTTAGGCTGTCGTGACGCCCAAGTATCCATCATATAACTGTTTGTAAAACAAGCAAAGAAGAAGACTACGGTTGTTGGGTAATAAGATATTATAATGCATAACTTTTGAGCTTGCTTTTTACTGAAGGAGTTATGGTCCCTTGTATTTGTTTCAGTGAGGGGCTTTATGTAAAAGTGTGCGCAGTTAAACTAGAAGTGAAGCTGAACATTTTATTCAAATTGATGCTTTTCTCACTACAGTTTGCGGTTTTCATGGAACAAACTTACCGAGAACTGTTTTTTGGGAGTATGATTAATAAATTAATGGATTACCAATGCTGTTTTGGTAATGAAATTATCTCCAGTCATACAAGTTAGCGGAAGTCTGTTTTAGTAAATTTTACTCATATTATCACTTTAATTTATCCTTATTACCCTTATTACTCTCCACATTGCAACTAACTGATCTCTGGTTTGGTGATGTGACGGCTGCTAGTATCCAGAAACCCTACTGCCCTGAAACAAACGTTTCATTCAAATCCCGAGACATACAAACTCACAACCAACTGCCAACTGACGAGAATTAGATAGTCGAGTGGCTATACCTCCTTCCATTGGACATTACCGAACACCTGGAACCGTACCGAAAGAACAAGAGTCGAGCGCGAAGAAATCAAATTGGTTTACACTAGCTCGTGAAAAAGATATTGGATATTGGATAGGACAGGTGCACTTTCCTGTAACCAAGAGCTCCTAATCCCTGGCAAACTATCCCATATGCTAGAGGTAATGCTACTCAGGAGCTAGAATTTTGTGTCGGATGATATAGAAAACTTTGAACCGTACAGAAATACTGATAGGTATGAAATAAAATCAGTCAGTTCAAACGAGCTCAGGAAACAGATATTGGATATTGAAGTGAGTTGTGTAATTTCGAACTCAAGGTTATGGCTTCGGACTTTTACATTTCTAATTTTAAGCTAGAACACCAGAAACTTCAAGATAAAGTTGAAAAACTTGAGAGGGAAAAAGAATTGCTTATGGCAGAACTCGGACACAGAGAACATAATTTCTGTGGCAACATACTCGCGTTTGTTGAGAGCTTATTTTTGAATTCGAAATATAGGTAGCTGCCGTATTTCTTTCCTTCTACCTTACGATAGTGATATACTCTTCAAAACACCGAACGTTCTTGTCCCTGGACATAAGTTTGTTCTCGATGCCAGGGGTGGAGTGTGGAATGCTTATACAGAGAATGGTGTAGAATATATAAATATACAAGGTAGGTGAAATTCATTTCGTTTTAGTCTTTCAAGGGTATTGTCAGAAAGTGTGCGAGGCATTGATTCTCTGGGCTTACAGAGGAACTTTGGAGAAGCAGGATGCACGGTGTATGTCCGATTTAATGACTCTCGCACGAGAATTTTGCTTGCCTTCCTTATTTACCCAGTGAGTATTTCTATTTTTAGAGTTGTAGGTGTGAAGTTGCTTTGATCCCTCTAGTGACAAAAGAAAACTGCTTGTCATTGTATTCGTCTTCTTATAGACTAGGAGCTACCCGGTTACTAGAACATTGCTTTATGTTCTTGTCAGATGTTTGGGTAGGCTGTTTGACTAATATTGACTAAGTTTTTAGCCTAATTTTTCACCTAAAGAGATTTCTGCAATCGCTTCCCCTGTTCTTCAATCTTTCCTCGAGAAATATTCCAAGTTCCCCGTGCACTCAGCAATTGAACTTGGGCGAGATGACACCGTTTTATCTTTGCTTAACGTAAATCATCCGAAGGTATTTTCGAATGTTTTATGTGTGCAGTAATTTATATTTTAGAACTCGTTTTCTGTTTAAATATCATACTTATTAACGAGACAATGCAATTTAGCCACTCGTTTAGCTGTCATTTGTTAGTTCATTCTCAAGTCTGTCATTAGTCGCTATCACTAATAACCATTTATATCCTACAATGCATCACCTCACCAGTTTCAACTGGAGATACGTACTTATCACTTTGGTTTTAGACGTTGGTCATCTATGCGGCTTTTGATTAAGTTGCTTTGTTTATACTCTGAAACTTAAGTTTTTAGTTATATTAGCCAGAACACTGCTTTCTGGGTTTTAGTAGCCTCTTCTTTGTCCTTGTGTTTTAGGTTAACAATGACCGCACACTTTTCACACGATAATCATATGAGGTGGTAAATTACAGTAATATAATATATTGAAGTCTTTTAGGTAGTTAGTTATAAATTAACTACGTTTATTATAGCACCCTCTGGAGTAGTGATACTTTTAGGAAATGTTAACTAAAGATGGACTTAGTAAATGTTTGCAACATACCGCTCATGTAATAATACAAGCGCTAAACAACTATTTGATTGGTCGTCAGCTACGTTCTGGCTGTCTTCTGTTAAGTTTAACCCAAAATGAACTCTCATCGTTCGCTATCTAACCCCAAGTTGAGTTTAGAAGATATGGATTGCTTCTGAGGTTTGAGAGATATTTTTATGCTCAGGGACCTGATCACTAATTGCCAGTATTCAGCTGTTCGCGTATCATAGTGTACAAAACCATAAGTTATTGAAGTTCTGTCACTGATTGATGTTTAAAATTATTGGTTCATAGACAGCATGTCTGATTTTATCACTATTACTTTAGTCTTGCAATTCGTCATTGGTTAACTTTCTTTGTTCCAGGTAAAACTCCTCGTAAATCAACTGAACGAAAATGGATTATCTCCGTTGTATATGGCTCTAAAAGATGCTCATTTTGAACTTGCTGAGAAACTGATTGGTGTAGGTGCAGATATAAACGCACTTATCGGTCCTACTGGCCAGAAGCAACCCGTTACTCAGTTTGCATTTGCAAAACGCCAATATGACGCTGTCCAATTTCTCTTGCTTCATGGTTCTAATGTAATTACTTTTTGAACATTTAAACCTTAATGTCTTGAAAGTTCAGATTAATTACGGGTTATTGAAATGAGATAACTATACCCTCAGATATCTGATTCGTGTTTCTGATGCAGAAACAGATCATGATTAAGAACCCCAATACTTCCAGTTACAGTAGGAAATAAAGTTTAATTTTGGTTTAACACTAATGTAGGTAGTTATTTGTAGAATCGTGATTCTTTACGCCGATAGGTGGTACTTTTAGTTAAAACATGATTTGTACGTGTTTTAATTCTCTGAAACCTTACTCTGCAAACACAGTATGTTGGAGTGTCCAAGCAAGAAAATTATGATAACGAGTAAGAAAACAAATCTAAACATACTTCAGGCATTTACTAATGCATCCGTGTATTAATTTCATGGGTAATCGAATTTTCTACTTCTTTTGTCAGTATTTAGTGAGAGCTAACCATCCCGCCATTATTCGTAAGACTAATAAAGTGTGTATTGCTCGAAAGACCCAAAGGTTTTTGATTTAGTCTACTGTGTTTAAATAAACGCACCATTGAAGAATTGTAAGCGAGAAGGAAACTAAGTAACTAAGTTGTACATGGGAATGGCAGACAAAAGTGAGCTTAATTATTGAGTTAGTGATCTGGTTAGTATTATGATTAAAATCGATGCGGGTTTTCAACTACTGAGAAATTTCATCGTCAATGGATTTAAGAAGTAATCTAATTGAATACTAATAATATACAGGGATAGGTATTCTAACTGTAATTCAGTCATCAATAAAGAAAGATATTGAATAGGACAAATGATTTTCCTAGCTTGTAGTACTTAATGAGTGTAAAAAATATGTGGAAATATCAGATCATCGGACGGTGGTTCAGCTGTTTTATTTGCTTTTAAGAAATAGCGTGTAACATGTTCCAGTCGCCATCAGTTTACGTGAACGAGTAGTATCTATATTATTCATACGATCTAAGGTTTTAAGTTCACTTGATGAATCTGTTGAATAATAAGTTGGATTACTTTTTCATGTTATCAGTATCAGTATGCTTTATGTTTAACGAATTCCTAACCACCGACTGCCTCGACGAGCTATGTTTTGTGGTGTGGGAGCAGGTTGTAAGAAAGCTACGAGCAGCCAGACCAAAACATGATAGAAATCCATGAAGTCACTGACAAGTGGACTGAGTCATGTTGGTAGATGTAGGCTACGTGGTTGGGGTCCGCGAGACGAAAATTACCGATTGTTAGAGACCTTGAACGACATGGCGCATGTGCATCCATTCGTTGTGCTCTCTCAAATCCTAATCTTATGGATTCGTCAGCACCTCTAACTTTGTCTTTCTAACCTTATCTAACTGAATTATACTTCATGAATAATGTCTTCAAACCCTAGTCCTCTTCATTACCATTAATACCTCTACTATCTTTATCACTATAGGGTTTGATTTGACATTTGCGTCTCTGTGGTGATGTGGTATGGCAACCTGAACTTATGTACAATACGTACGAAGTTCTACGTTGCAACTGACTGACTGATTAACTCTTACTACTTCTAATTTTGTATTCATTGTTTGTTGCTATGACAAACTTCAATAATAAGTTACTGTCTAACATTGTCTCAGGGATTACACCAGGTGTTAATTCTCTTTAACTTTGAAATCTAGGCTAGTGTTTTTATAACTTCCTGAAGAATATCTAATTTAAAAAAATAGGCAAAGTGTATAGTTTTTTTATGAATAATGTTCTTTGTAATATTACTTGTCTGTTTACACAATAATTAGATGTATAACTCTCGATTTCGCCATTAAAAACAAAAGATAATAAATTTCTGAGTTATATTCAGTCTTTTCTACAATGAACAATAATTTATATACTAAAGTTTCCTATGAAATATGAATATAAGAATAAACGTAAATAAAAATTTTGAATCAGTAATAATGATGAGCAAATAATAATCTATTTTGTTTTCAATCAAGTGTGATTTCTGTGATTCAACCTCGTCTCGCACTCTACTTCATACCCTCGCAGTAGCTGATGAACATGAAATGTCAGAAGCCGTGATCAATATTGCAAAAACAATAATTCAGCAGAGTGCTAATATTTCTTGCCAGGATGCAGATGGAAAGTAAGCTATTTTGAACAAAATTCTTAAGTCTTTAGGTTACTTTATTATAATAGACAACTTTAGTGTTTACTTTAAATTATCTGCAAATCGCATTTCGACTACTCATAAAATACAGACGAACAAAATGAAGTAATATCTCGATTGTTCTTAAACACGTTCTTCTGGTTGTTACTTTAGAAAATACCTCAACGAACTAAAACTTTTAGATCTGTGGATTAACAAGATTATTCGGATTTCAAAAATTATAGCGCTCGTACAGTTTCTCTGTTTACTGAAACAAGTTAACTAGCTTTGAAATCATATGAGCAACCTCTTTTAGTGATTTGCTTGCTACCTTACCATCAACTTACGATTCTTAGTGTTTTTGAATAATAATTACAGTAGTCCTATGTTTCATTTTATACCACTCATAATGCTCCTTCTAAGCACTTAAATCCTAATTGATTGACAACACATTACTGTGCGTAGTTCCATTATGCTTCAAAGACATGATTAAATAAACAATAAACTGTTTAAATGTGTTTTTCTGCTTATTCTCGGGGTTTTGATGGTTATCTATGAATTGGAGAACGGTGAAATTAAAAGTAGCAACTCAAGGTCTGAGACTTAAGTCGTACTGCTTACTATAGAGCCCAAGCGGTTGTCCATTGGACTCTGCGGTCTCGATCCCAGGTCTTTAAGACCAATGCTAATCTGTCTTTCTTTTCAGGTTATCCAAGAAATCCTTCCTACTCCTCCTAACATCTCTCTTATCTCCACATCTCACCCTTCTCACATCGCTTTAACACCCTGAACTGCTAATGCAAACGATTCGAGTTCATGAAACATTATTTCCGGTATCCTGAAATCCCGTCCTAAATTACATGTAGGAGCACTTAATGTCTGGACATTTTGTCAAATAGAGCAAGAGGCTTCCTTAGCTAGGACTTTAGAATTTCGTGTTATCGATGTGTTCTGCGTTTCGGAAACGTGCACTCAGGATCCGAGTAGCGTCATTCATGTCGAAATAAAGATCCAGCTAGATTTACTCTTCGTGTATCAGGAAACCCTTATGCTGCTTCTCGGGGGCTCGCTGACGTAGGTATAGCATTGAGTCCTAGGACACAACTAGCTCTCCTAGACTGGATCCCTGTAGATAGTCGCTTGTGCTCTGTCCGACTAAACGGGACAGTAAGGATTCGGAAGGATAGGGACAATCGTCGTTGCCTCTTCGTCATATTAGCCCCTAATGACTGCAGTTCAGACGAAGTGAAAGATGAGTTTTACAGAAAGCTTTCGGACCTCCTCCAAAAAGTTAAGCGCTCTGATATAGTTATAATGGCTAGTGACTTTAATGCTCAAGTAGGTAGACTAAGTAAGCAGGAGAGACACTTTCGTGGTTGTTATGGTGTCGCGGCTCAGAGAACAGACAATGGCGACCCTTCTGTTGCAAGTATGCTCAGATAATCGCCTATTTCTAGCAACCAATAACTTTAGGCATAAGAAAAAACATCTGTTGACCTGGTGACCCCCAAAGATGTCTCAACGATGAACCCAACTAGATCACATTGCCATCAGACACCGACGGAGGGTTTCGATAGAGGACTGTCGCTCGTTCTGTGGCATATGTCTAGATTCAGATCATGCCGTAGTGCGAGCGCGTATTTGTTTGAGGCTTACTGGACGTAGAAAGACACCTCAAGGAAACATGTTAGGGTTCTACTTAATGATAATGAGGCTAAGAATATATTCCAGGAACAACTAGGAAGAGAGTTAGGCGACCATGTAAGTGATTCCCATCCGGAGGCAGGTTGGAATGATATGAAAAAGGCTGTGGAAACAGCAGTGATATCTGCTAGTAAGGTAAACCATAAGCCTAAGATGAAGCCGTGGATCTCAGTAGCATCCACTGAGCTGATAAACGCTCGTAAACACATCCCACCTGGCTCTGAACATGATGAAGAGCGATGTCAGCTTAAGCGCAGGCTGATAAAAAGCCCACGCAATTATCGCGAACAGTGGTAGGTGGCGAAAGCAAAAGCGATAGATAGGGCAGCGGCGATAGGCAGTAGCAGACAGTTGTTCCGTCTTATTAAGGAAACCGGTATTCGAAATCCAACTTTTAGTAAGGCTATCTTGGAAAAGGATGGTCTTATTATCCATTCTCAATCCAGGAGGCTGGATCGATGGGCAGAACACTTTAGGGATCAGTTCAACTGGCCTTCAACCACACTTCGGCTACCCATGATCTCCAGTCATCCTGAACGGCCAATCGACGTAAGCCCACCTAGTCTTAATGAAGTTGAAAAGGCTTTAGGAAATCTGAATCGAGAGAGAACAGCAGGACCTGATAGATTGACCCCTGAGATTTTTAGGATGGTGGTCCAGTTTTGACAGTTAGACTGACCGAGATCTTAGGTATAATCTGGGAATCAGGCATAATCCCATCCGAGTGGTCTCAATCACTGATTGTCTTAGTCCATAAGAAAGGACAAAAGTCCTTTTGTAACAATCACAGAGGAATCAGTCGAACTAATATTGTATCTAAAATATTGGTCTCAATAATACTCCGACGCTTAAAGAAAGCTCGTAAAGAGCAGAATAGAGAAAACTGGGCTGGTTTTCAACCTGTATAGGCCATATATTCACTCTTCGTAAGGTCCTAGAATATAGACACACGTTTCGGGGAATTATTGAAACTTCATCAGTTGAAATAGTTGGAACATGTGTTATGTATGCGTAACTACCGTCTACCTCGACGAGCAATGTTTTGTGCTGTAGAGGTGATCTGGAAGAACGCTAGAGGCGGCTAAACTTAAACATGGCATAAATCCATGAAGTCACTGGTTAGTGGACTGAGCCATGTTCGTAGGCGTGGACTATCCGGTTGGGGTCCACGAGACGGTAGTAACCGGTGGTTAGCAACCTTGAACGACATGACTCAAAATCGTTTGCAATGATGCAGGTGCATCCATTCTCTGTGTTCTCTCAAATTCTAGTCTTCTGAATTCCTTATCACCTCTATCTTTCTCCTTTTAAATTTATCTCACTGAATTATAATTCTTGAATAATATCTTTGAACCCTGATCTTCTCCGTTACCGCTAATGCTTTACTAACTCTACTGCTATGGGATTTGAATCGACAATTGCGTCTCTGTGATAATGTGGTGTGGCAACCTGAACTGACGTAGGTACGTGTGAAGTTCTACATAGTAGCTGACTGACTTTTTACAAAAACTATACCAAAATAGAGGTGGTTTCCAATTTTAAGCGGTTTTCTATATACTTTTTTTTCGTCTAACTAATTAATAATGTTTCCTAAAAACAGTTTCAATGGTATTCCTATTTTATGTTTCGAAGAATAAGACAATAAATTAAAAGAACTTTTTTTTATAGTTCACCGTTGCATTTATCCATTTTGCACAATAATTCGACCTTATTGAATTTGCTGCTCAATCATTCAAAGAAACCTAATTTAGATTTACCAAATAATCAAGGATTTTGTCCACTGTGGTTAGCGCTTGTTAGGCAGTTCAACTTTCATGATCCAAATGTTTATGGATTTAAATGTATGTTTGCATTGTTATTATCGCTATTAAATGCTTATACTTTTAAATAATTGAGCTGTTATAGGGAAATATATGCAGTGAATGTCAAAATTTTGATAGATAGGTACAACTAGTTAACAGTTTTGAATTTGCGCACATCTTTGCTTGTTTTTTGATTGTATTACTGAACACTAATACTGGTATAACTGAACACTGAAATAAATACATGCAGTTAGTGAATTGTAATTGTGAAGAGATAGCGAAGAAAGTATGATAAAACAAATGGGTAAATGGATAAAAACAAATGGGTGGTGCTAGTACATGATGGGGAGAAATCCAACTAAAATACAACCAATTGTTTCAACTGAATCAGTCCTTTCCATTTTTATGAAGGATGTAAATGAAAACTACAACATGATCGCCATTGGCTTCTATTCTGAGGCATATCTGGTCATTTATGATCCTCATCAGTTGTCGATCTCTAGAACTCCGACTATTGAGTTGTAATGTACCGGATAAATTTCATTAGAACTGCGTAGCCATGTTGTGAACTAAACACCTCTCTGTCCAACCTTATCTTAGTGTCACCAATTAATGCACAGTATGGACGTCATTATGACGATATTCTTAACACATGACCAAGACACCAATAGCTGGTGTTTTAAGATGATGACACCAACTGAACTATCGTCACTTTGCGTGAACGCATATTCGTGGACCTCAGTATTCCTAAAATGATGTTAAAATGGATGTTAGCAGTTCTTCGTAGACAATTATGATTAATCACAGAGTCATCCAATGGCCCGACGTTTTACAACAATACTAACGTCAAAAGTACTCTAAGGATGTCCTACGTTGACAAAGGTCACTCTGACTTTCACACACATCTACTAAGTTCTGAAATTTTGGAATGAATATCTGTTTTGATGAATTTAGCTTGTCATATATGAAAAAGACTATTTGATTGTTTATTACATCAGAAACGCAATCGCATACGTTATTTTGTGTATATGATTGTACATCTACAGTGAATTAAAAGTGAACTGCATTTCAGTAATCCTGTAAATAACACATTATTCCTCTAAAACAGTTACAAATGAAAGAAATTAATGCTTAGGTCACTGATATTACTTTTTTTCTATTGGTTCGCTTCACATCCTTTAGTCGAGACTCTTGAAAAGTTGATCATTGTTCTCGTTGGGTACTTAGAGGTCATTAACAGTAGCTGTCTGAGATCTTACAAGCATTATCTTTTTGTTATATCCCTATCCTTAATAGTAGTGAAATATTTGAAATGTCAAAGATAATTAGCAATTTTTTTATGATGATGAGTTTTGAAATGCATTCAAAACCAACTCTTAGTCATGCACTAAAAGTGTATGACGTGACAACAAAGAGTAACATTAAATTAATTCAACTTATTGGTCAGTTCACGAATTTCAAAAATTAGCTAAGATTAAAGTTTGACCATTTTTCCGATAATATTCAAGCGTTTTGATGTAGTTTATTGGTCTGAATAGGTTCTAAGCCTATTCCAACCTATCCGTTATCTTCAATCCATATCTTTATTTTCTGGGTTTATCAATTTTCTATTATTTGTTTATCCATTTATACTTTTTGCATATTTCCCAGCTAACTCATTGACAAATAGTTCATATGACTTCGCCACTCAATTAATTGAAAATGGTGCTAACGTGAATTATAGATTTACTGACGTTTATCATTCTGAATTGAATAGTAAATCTTTAAAGAATCCACTCCCAGGTGATACTCTACTTTTGGCTACTTCACGTATGGAATGGGAGTCAGCTGCTTTATTTCTTCTCGATCATGCACAATGTGATCCTACTTTGGAGTCATTTACTCAAGGAGAAACGGTTTTTCATGTTGCTGTAGAAGCTGAACTGTTTACTTTATGCAGTCGTTTGATAATGCGGAATGACACTGACCCAAACCGTTTACGGTTTTCCGAAGTTATTATACTGACATCAGACGTTGAGGTAGGTATTTCTTGGGTAATTTTTAATCAACAATGCAGTTTTATAGCAAGTTTTCAGTTGCAGTCGGACCAAAAAACAAGATTTTTCGCAAACTTAGCTTCAGTAGCTAATTATTTATCAGAATATTTGTATTTTTAGTTAGGAGATTTTCGGTTGCTTGCTAAACGTTACCAGTAACTGTTCAAAAAAGTACATTTATCTGTAAAAGTAATGGTAATTTGTATTCAATAGGTCCATGTCAGTAGTATAAAATCTGCATACATATGTTGGGGTTCGACAGAATACCGTTAGTGCTGCTTGTCATGATTAGAAGAACTACTACTTGGAGGCACTGGACGGCCGTTTCGTCCTAACATGGGACTTCTCATCAGTAAACGCCCATGACACCACACGTGGGAATCGAACTTAGGACTTTTTCTCTCTCACGCAACCCCTTAACTTCTTGACCATCGAGTCATAATGGCACAAGACAGGACTTATTTGAGGTATCAACCACGAGTCAAAAAATGATCTAACCACTGACTCAAGGACTCTATTAAAGCTCTCAAAATTATACGTCTATTGTATTTGCGTTTCAGCTCTGTGATTACACTCTCACTGGGATTTTCATAACCCCTGCCGAATAATGGATTAAAACAACACGTATTATCGAGTTAAAAAATAAAAACTTTTCATAATTTTTCTATGACATTATATTCATATTCATAATTGCACGGTGAATAACTATCCTATTAAACAATCAAGTATTTCCAATCTCTCATTCATCTAATTAGAATCGATATTATAAATACTCTTACATTATCCATTTATCTGATGATCTATTCATTGCTGTTATTTTAAATATTACAGTACAACTGATACATTATTGAGCAAGTCCACCCTCATTGAAACTGATCAAGTTATAATTTATTTCATTTATGTGGTAGACTTATCAAAGAAAACAATATTCGGAAAAGTAACGATTTATTTTCTATTTGAAAAATTCTTTTACAGACTTCTCACGAAAGTACTTGTGTGAAAGAGGTCAGTCAACTCAAAATTACGAAATCGTTAAATCCTTTTGATGATGATTACGATACTGATGATTACAATCTTTTATCTGGTCCTATGGATAATAATATATCATGTCATTTGAATAGTTCAAATCCATCCACTGACTCTGCGGTTAATGGTACTATTACTCCATCAATATTAGCTGCACCATCATCGAATGTAACTAAACATAATCACAAGTCTATCCAACATTTATACTGCAGTCCTTTACATCTTGCTGTACAACATAAAATGTTCGGGATATTCGACTTTTATCTTGAAAACAAAGGTTAGTTAGTATACATTATTTATTCATAGTCTCTTGTCAGTACATCTATTTAGGTTTGGTAGGTTATGTATTGGGCAACTTGGTTTCAGTTGCTTCAGTCTCATTTGCTTTCAACCATTAGGTAGCCAGTTCAAACTCTACGTTACTTCAGTCTGGGTAGATGGGGGCTGTCATCGGTCATCAAACAAATAAGGTAACTGAAAAGCGAGTACCTAAAGTTACATTTGGTGAACCACTTAGATTATGGCTTTTAAAGTTAATAGTCAACTGTTGTTTACTAGTATTTATGGTTAATTAACTGAAATTGAATGAATAGTTTATTTGGACTGCTTCAGTAACCTCGAATAGGCTTCTACACTCAGCTTTAAACAATAACTTTTTGTTTTAAGATTGTATGTAATTTGTTAAGGATGAATTCTAGTTGACAAGTGATGCATCAAAAAAATATATCTTCTATAAAAAGATAAAACTGAGGCCTAATATATTCACCTTTTACAGACAGTTGACTGGTTAATAAATCTTATTCAGTCTGCAACGATCAACACTACTAATAATTTTTTCATTAAAATATCTCCAAATTGATAGCTCATAGGTTGAAAGTCAAGTGTATAAACAGTTAAGTTAAGGCTTTGTTATATGTCCCCATTATATTCCATCATATTTTCCACTTACACTTTAGTAATCTGTTTTGCTATATCTGAAGTATTTATTATTGAGGTTTCATTTATCTCTATTTATAATCCACAGCCAACGTGGATTGGTTTCTGTTGAATGATTCTGGTGATTCGGTGTTCAGCTTACTTTTATGGTCAGAACAGTTTCAATTGGCCAGTAGAATACTAGAATCAATGTATAATCAATCAAAAAATTCATCAGTTAGTCATGACTTGAAATTCGATGAATCCGACAAAGCTATCCAATCGATTCGAAGTATACTACCTACAATATGTATTAAGCCATCTTTATTGATTCGATCCATTGAACGCGATCAATTAGAAGTTGTAAAATTCTTGATCGAACATGGTGCTAATATTAATGAGAGGTATGATTATATGCATTCTCTTAGTCTTAAGAATATGAATCATATTTTATTATACTTGTATATTTTTTAAATTTATTCACGTATTTATATCGATGGACAAGATATGTAAATCTAATAGGTTTTATTCGAAATTGTGTATGGTCTTGTGACTAAATTTTTTAATAATCGAGAAAATTTATGGGTCACTTCTGATATAGCGAATGTCAATTAAAACAACCGAAAACAGGTAATGAAGATAGATAATGTGCAAATGATCACGAAAGACATTTGTGTTTCTAAAACTTTGGAAACCTCTAATTACTCTTCAGCTGCTCGTAGTGACATGATCAGTGTTTTCACATGGCCTCATGGTGAAAACTTGAAGAAAGTATAATTTCAGCAAGTCATTGTTGTGTTCATATGCTTAAATGTAAATCACCTGATTTATTGTTTCTGATTTCGTATTTTAGTCTGTAAACCCTATCTTCTAAGTGTGGTTACTGTAAGGTTATAAACTCTTGATGTACATCAACGTTACTGTCGATTATAAAGAGTTGTTAAGCACAGTAGTTTCACTGGCACTTTGTTGATTCTCATCATATGTAGTGTAACTTAAACCATGTAAACTTGTGATGAACTGGTTACTACCAGTCGTTATTCATGGAAAAGTATATATTGTGCCTATTTTGTGCTTACCTCTTCTTATTACATGTACATGTACTAGATTGGACTTCAATTTCAATTTGTACGTAGGTGATAATTGGACAATCCATATATTTTCCTCATTTAGTATTTTACTGATATTGACCCTTTTGGTACATCATAGATTCAAGGGTTGAATTCTCTATCCAATTAAGACAGCTGTACCTTGGTGACAGATCTATAGAATCAGTAGCATTTGCAGGCCTTGACATATTTTCAAGTGATGTACTGGTGCTTTATTTTGTATTTATTGTCTATATAAAGTGAGTTAGAGATGAAAACTTCTGAAATTAATATAGTCGGTGAATCATGAATGTTGTAGGGTTTAGTTGGTGTACTCAACCTTCATTCACTTGAATGCAGCTCCAAATCCCTCCTTTATTTGGTTTGAATTCTCTTGTAGTATTGTTGTGAATGAGAACACAGGTGGAGGCAACCGAATTGTATTCAACGAAAATTACAGAGTTACTCAGTAAAATCGGAAAACCATATCGTAAATCGTTCATTTGCAAAGGATCAGTTCATCCTATGGAACTGGACTGTTCCTGTTGCCAAACATCAATCCATTGTCACTCTTCATGCGTTTCATACAAATTCCATTGTTTTCTGACTCTTCCTTCCTTGATCTTCCCCCCATATTATGCTACCAGACTTTACGTTGACACTCACGCTATATACTACTTATAAGTAGTTCGCACCACAGCACCCCAGTATCACTAGCCTAACTCAAAGCAGAGTACACAAATGTTTGCTGACTTTAATCATTACTTTATTTGTTCTGATCTGTTCGAATCTATCTATCTGGTAACCAGAAACTAGATACTACTATGTGGTGATAAATAAACAGAGCAAACAAACTTCTTACCACTTTTTATTTTGTACTATGAGTGTTAGAAATCAAGAGACGCCAAATCATTTGTTTATTTCCAATTCCAACAGGTATCATCTGTGAATAACTAAATGATTTGAAATTATTCTATATTCATTTCCCGATCAAATTTTACATATTTTTTTCATGTTTTAAAAATTATTCAGTGAAAATGACTCTCAGTCATACATTAACCCTCTCTGGACTGCATTGAAGTTAAGAAGATGGACAATAGCCGATTATTTGGTAAGTGATGAAAGCGTTCTCCTATTATAAAATGTTTTGTATTCAATCCTACCTCATTTTTGCGGTTTAAACATGAAGAGACAGCTACTGAAAGGGATTTCTTCTTGTCAATGTGAAATTTGCGTGAATATATCTTTACGTTTATTCAAAAGCATGAATTGTCTTGTTTAGTGTCTCATATCATGTAAGTTACTAGTGCAGTTACTCTGAAACTTCTGCTGTGTGTCAATAAATGTATCTTCGGCTACTATATTACCATTATTATTTTAAGCATGTAATATCATTCATATGTTCAGAGTCGAACTGATCAATATTAGTTAGTCGATGTAAATCTGAGGTTAAATGGGTATAGTACCGCGTCTTTCTAATTTGAAGAAATAGTGTAAAGTTTATAACTCATGAGTTAACGAAAATGTGGCCGATCAAACAATAACTTACTTGAAACAAAGTAATTTTCATCTCATAATCAAAAGCTGCAATCGATCATAAATTTCAAAATTGCCGATATCCTAGTCGACTTTCACTAACTTTTAACTCACTATTTTTCCACGGAGGTTCTCTAAAAATTAATTTGTGCTCCGAAATTCTGAATTCACCTGAGGTATAAAAATGTGAATTTCTGATGAGAACTCCATTAAATATTTTCTTCTTGGCTTCAATTTTGATCTATTTAATTAAAGCAGTATGGTGCGATACTTCAATTTCTGAATTATATGAAACTATCATCAAATCAAGCGTAAAATTAGATTGAGTACGTTTATGAAGTTGTATTAAACTGAATGCTGAAACTAATTTATTTAAGATTTGTTATACATTAAACCCTCAGCTAGATTAAAATTAGTCACAATATTACAAAAATAATGTTTGTTTATTGTGTTTGTAGTGTATAAGTTCAAATAATTGTCATGATAAAACGTGTCCACAAGATTAGAATAAATTTTATGGATAGAAAATCTAACTAGAAAATTGTATTTTATTCTACAATTTTATTTTTATTTTTTTTGAAAGTAATCACTTAGTTTGATTGAATTGTTCCTCTAATCGCTTTACATTACACATTTTCCATTTCTAGGTTGATCATGGAGCTGATGTTAATTCATGGGCACCATTTAATGAGACAAATACAAAAATCACTCTATTACATCGTGCAATTCATGAGAATAATGAAGAGGCTAGTGTATTTCTAGTGAAACGGTTAGTGTTAATCTACTAATTTGCATGTTATTGAGTTATTTTTTCTTCCTACTATCTGTTCATCATCATAGTATTTAAATTTTGGTGATGATTTTCTAGGGTATTATCACAAATTTTAAGGTGCCACAACTTGAAGGTGTAGTAAAATTCACAGTTGAAACCTTTATTCGCAGGCTATCAGCACCTGTGCCTGGTAGTAAGTGGTATACTAGAAAAAGTAAACTTTCTTTTAATGTCACTGCTTCTATGTTACTAAAAAATTAGTTAGATTCATCACATATGTTAGTGTACATGAACTTCATGGTAATTTTATTGAATGTAAATACAATTGATCCATTCTGAAAATTATTTTTGAGCATAATTTTTGCTTGAGTTATTACATTTTAAATGCATTAGATAATTTATGAAACATTCTGGTTCAATAAACGATTGTAGTCATTATTATTATTATTATTATTATTATTATTATTATTATTATTATTATTATTCAGCTCACAAGACTGATGTCGAATTGTCTTAAGATTGAAAAATCATGAAATTCGATCATTTCTATCTTTTAATTCTGTTGTCGGTTTCAGATTTATAATGCCTTTTAATGAACTATTCTGCTATCTATATTCTAAAGCTAGGTGAACAACGTTTAATCAGTATCGTAATTAGTATGATTACCTTTTCCTGAAGGATATACAGGCTGCACGTATTTGATCATGGCATTGCTCGTACTTGATAAAGCAGCCAAACAAGTGGTGTTGAGATTGAGCATATAGCAGTATTAAAATATGGAAAGTCGGTTGATAAGACCATATATCTTCGTCGAACGAAGTGGCTGAGACATGTGTTATATCCAGGCACCACTTACGTTAACATGCAACATTCGGCGGTGCAGAAATGAGTTCGAAGAAAACTGGAGTTGGTTAAACTAGGGCATGACGAATTCATGAAGTAGTTGACTGATGGGTTAGGGTACGTCGGTAGACGTACACTACCTAACGGGCTGTCTGTACGATAATCACGATCAGTGGTTGAAGACGTTGGGTGATTTATCTCAGGATTGGTCGCGGTGGCTCAGATTCATTCGCTCACTTTCAATATCATTTCATATCGTTCATATCATATCTGATTTTATAACATCGTTTTCTCCAATGTTTAGTCTTCCTCACTACTATTGATACTATTATTTCTAAAATGCTTTTGAAATTCGTCATGTCAGTTTTATCTCTTCTTTGTGGTAGGGGTATAGCAACCTGTGCTGTCATACATTTGTGCTGTTCTGTACATTAATTATGACTAAGTGAAACCACAAAATGATGTGTTACAAAGATTTTTTTTTATTCTTTCAGAAGTTGTCTAATTGAGTATCATTAGAGTATCTTTATTTTATTGTTGAGCAAATGCGTAAGGTAATATGATATACTACGTGTAATACAAATGAATGTATAAATATTTGTAAAGATATACCAATGTCACACTATAATTATACATTATTCATCGATTACTTAGTGAATCAGCATTCATGATGTAAAGCATTAATACCACAATGGTTTTCAACCTAATATTCATACCGACACAGCTATCAATAAAAAGTCTACATACCCTCCTACTATGGACCGCTGTTATTTGTCGTCCAGTAAGATTAGTAGTTCTAAAAATGGTATCAATTGTTATTTGAATTTTAAGATGAATGTTGAAAGCGAAAGAATTGAGGATTAATGATCCTCTATCCTAATCATTACTTAAAATAACCAAACAAATAGGAGTAATGCATTAGCTTCGAATATAGTTATCTCCACTAAAAATGTAATTATGACTTGTTTTTGTGACACTGTTTCTGTCATCGGACACGCTAAAGAATGCCGTCGAAGAAAGAATTTAAATGGGCAACTTATTGCTATCAGAATCAGAAACTATGTACAAAGTTTGCATATTATATTTATCGTACTATATTAGATTGTTATTTGTGGTATTGTACACCATAAACATAAATTCAATTTTCTAGCATATGAAAACCGTGAGGAAATGAAAGCTTAGTCAGTCGAATTTTTATAATTCTCAAATAGCAGTATAACATATTTCTGTACATACAAACACCTTATATGTATGTATCTGTTTTGATTAGTTTTTCTCAATTATTATTTTTGAAAAATTCTTATATTCAATTAGAAATTGTGATGTCAATGCATGTCCACAGTGTGATTATTCAGTGAATAAGAAAAAATCGAATTCTATACCAGAATTAGCTCGATATCCATTGCATATGGCTACTTTAAATGGAATGTATGAACTTGTCAAAGTACTTATTTCTAGCAATCGTGTACATATTAATCAACAGGTAAATTGCTTTAGTTGATATCAATAAAATTTTATGTAAATGTTTTTTTTATAAAAAGTAAATTAAATCTCTATAAAAGCAATTGCCCACGATAGCAAGAGCTATTGGAAAGTTGCAATTTCTATTTGGTATTAGTAGCTCAAAAACTAGTGGAGAATAAATTCATGTTTATCCGGATGATTGAGAGTATCACAGTATCACAGTACACCATAATTTACAAATACAATGAAAATGGAAATATTTCATTTTCGATTCAAAATTCTCATACTTAGTTTATAAAAATGAATTTTCAGTATATTTTGTAAACATGATGAAATTTGATAGCAGTTGATGAGTCAAACAAAGTCTTACAATCACATGAGCTGTATGTTATTACTAATTACGCATTAAACATTAGGCATACTGGTGTCACACAAAGTATTTTATCCTAGCTTATTTATCTTAACGTAGTTATTAAAAAAATACAACTAACTGATAAGCTGAGTTCTTAGCATGATATAAGTCAACAATTTTATTGTTAGTAGTCTAGTGAAACTCATTTTACTTAGTCAACATTGATGTTCATTGTTTTCAGTCATTATTTTATGTTCTCTATACTTTATACGGTTTTATCTTGCTGTTCAGAATAAATTACCAGTAGCAAAGTTCAAAGCCTATACTTACTAGTTTGACATCAGCTAATTTGACCAATAAACTGTCCTTTCATCATCAACTGTTAATCATAACTCCTTTAGTTTAAGGAATTAAAGTTTTAAGTACTCTGCTTATGCACCTAAAATCAAACGGAATTTTTTTCTTCTGTCTAACGATCATCAGATCTCATTTACACGCATACTATCCGGTATCTCTGAGGAAAAACCTGTATTTTTTTTTCTAAAGGTTTTCGCTAAGCTGTCTGTTAGTCGAAATACTCACTGTATGTATTAAAATTAGGTTTTGGTATTGTAATGAAGATTTTTTAAAAAATTATTATAACTGTCATGTTTTGAATAAATTACTTGAGTATAATTTCTTTATGTCATACAAACTATATACATATTGACATGTAAATATGATTATGGCTAACATTTCCATGTAATGCTTATTTAGGATTATAACGGTGAAACTGCTTTACATTTAGCAATCAAATCAAAAAATGAAGAACTTGCCAACCTATTAATTGAAGCGCCTCAAATTGATTATACTGTTCGAGATGCACAAGCATATACTGTATTTCATGTAGCTGTAGATCTACGTCAGCGGACAATTGCACAAAAACTTTTAGAAAAGGACTCTTCTTTAGCTTTACAAGTTAGTTACTGGATAACAAATAAATTTTCTTTCTATATATCATAGAAGCTAGCTTCATTTAAATAAACAAGCTAGGGTCATATCTTTTTTAAATGTCACATCATTAGTTCGGTTGATTTTATTATTTTATGGTTTCGATTGAAGTGTGATCCTAGTTAGATAATTATTGAAACCATGGAAACACTGATTAATTGTTTACTCCCAATATAGGTCTTCTAAGCAGCAGACATTCATTACCCTACTAGAGATTGAATCTTGGACCTTTTTGTCTTGCAGAGAGCACTTAACTTTCAGGCCACTGAGCACTCGCTCTCAACGGTTTACATACCTAACTCCAATCAATAATGAATTATAACCGACTGTCTTCATGACCAGTAAAAATCAATCATGTCGGTTGCAATAGGCACACCTACTCATAGATGAAATTGGAAAGTGGTTGAGCAATATCGTGAAATTAGAAATGTACACTTGGGGATGATTGCTCAGTGATCGAAAGTTTAGACGCTCGTTACGAGACATGCAGACCTTAGGTTCGATTAGCACTGAATTAGATAATCTCCACAGTTTAGGAGTAGTCCCATGCTAGAAAGAAACAACTGTCCTGGGCTTCCTGGTTTTCAGTGGTTGTCTAAGATCATTTAAAAAAAGTTGCACAGAAATGCAATTGTTAGTTCAAATCCCATAGTGGTAGATGTGGTAAAAGTGACTATGTAGATAAAAATATATCTTTGTGTTCTTAACTAGCGAAGATATACGAGGTCATCTTGTCAATACGGAAATAGCAATGTAATAGTCTATACAATCCAGTTTCCTGTTATCAGATTATGAATTCGTGTCTTCTCCAATAACATTAGTTTAAACATTTAGGTAGCTCTTTTATTGTATTCGTGACTTATAATAGTATATATTTCAACATACTAACTGATATGTACATATTTCTCTCACTTTCGAAAATTCTGCTTATGAATTCGAAATCTAGGGTACGCTAAAAGTGGCAATTAGAAGGAGTTTCTTCAGGCTTAATACTACTAGTAATAGTTTACAATGTATTTATATTAAATATTCAATATTCTTGTTAATTTCTCTGATTTTCAGTAGCATTATGTTCAACTTTCAATATAAGCATTATTCTGTTGTTTTTTTTAATGTAAAATTTTTCTTTATCAATAGGTTGATAGTTCAGGACGGAATTTCCTACATATTGCAATAGAAAATTTGGATCGTGAAGCCATTTTTCTTCTTATTCAAATTGGAGTTGATATGAATGCTTGTGTACGTAATGTGCATCGTCTAACACCCTTACATTTAGCTATTAAAACTGGTGTCGATGAAGATATTTTGCGTAGTTTGGTAAGATTTCAAGATTGTTTCATTTTGTAATATCAGTTTTTCAGTAAATAATCACATGATACTTTCATAATAAGTCGTAGTTTCTGAGATTGTGGTTTATGCAGTCAAGTATCCTGACCCATATATAGATTTATTTATGTTCAAATTCATTAAACATTTGATTTGACTGATTCGGTAGACAGACAGACAGACAATGTTATTTTAAACCATAGTGATTGGGTTATAATTTTTATGTATCTTTGTCCTTACAATAATAAGTTTGTGCGGCTGAACACATGTGACAGCTTACTGATGTATTTCTTTTGCTTTCTTGAATGTCAATCACTGAAACTCTGGTCCACCTATTCCCACACAAATAAGTATTTGCTTGTTAAACTACGTTCATGCATTCTCTCGCCTTTTATGTACGTTAAAATAAGCCTTTCAACTTTGAGAAATCAGACACCATAGGAAATTATAGTAATAATGGTGTTCCGATCAACTGATACATGAATTACGGGAAGATATCTACTTTGTTTCTTTTCTGAAAATACTTTTGCCAGTTGTTCCATTGTTCCTTCGTCAAAACACGTCTTAATTTTCGAATTGATAATTGTGTGTTAAATTAAACTAACTGAAAAGGAATTGAGAAGCATGATTCACATTACTATTGTTCTTGGTTTGTTTAGATTAATTCATCAGTATATGTTTATTGGTCAACCTGTGTTAATTAGTTTTTTTTGATACTATAAAATGAATACCGGGAAATGTTTTAATGTGAGTACGGTGTTTCCTGTTAGATATTAACAGTTAGTATATATATCTATGCGCCTCGTAAATCAGTGTATTTGTATATGGGCTGGGATACTGTCTGGGTGCCCGAACAGAAGCTGGTGGCCCTCCTAGGGGGCCACTCCCTGACCGTTTGACTCAGTGAGACATCACTATGAGATACAATCCCAGTTAGCCAGTAACGAACATTACGTTCATATCATTATCTCCCTCAGAATCATGGGGTCTGTGTGTACTATTGGCTTAGTATTAAGGTTTTCCAACTCCCGTAGGTGGACCTTCGTACACATCAACCCGGTTTAAGTGACGTAAATTCTTACTTAGCCTTTTCAGTATCGTAAACAACATTCCCATTACGAGAATTCAGTGAGTAGGACTTTCCTGTCCGTGGCTATATATGCGTGACCATATGAACATTTCGAAGGAGCGAACTCTCATCATTCTCTGGCATACCAGGACATGTGGAGGCGGTAGTTTATAGGCTTTGTTGTTTCATGAAGTTTAGTATATTCATATACACTTTACTATCTCTACTATTCCTTTGGTGCCTGCATAAGATTTAATCTAAAAGTCATTTCTTGCCATAACATTATAAAGACTTGTGTTTTTTAATTTAAAACTCTGATTTTATTTCCTTCTGTCTATTATTATTATTATTATTTATGAATGTTGATTTTCCTCATCATCAATAGCTTCTTGCTGGTGCATCTATCGATTCACAAACACCACAAAAACAATACGGTCTTCATTTGGCTGTGATTTACGATAGACCAGAATTAGTGCATTGTTTATTAGAAAATGGTGCTGATGCGAATGCTCAAGATTCAGAACGTAATACACGTAAGTAATTTCATTCATTCCGTATTTATTTACATAGTCTATGTTTTATTACTCACAGTTTTACTACTAAACTATTCTTGTCTCTTTTAGTGTACATTTTTTTAATTTTATCTTAGCCTTTGCTTCAGTCTAAGTTTCTGCACAGAAGACAAAGGTATTTATTAGCTTATAGTTAACCTTGACACTTAGAAAACTTGCAGAAACACAATAAATTGTGATTTATTTAGTAACAACATTTCTCGTCATTATTTTCATTAAGTCTTGATGTACAACTTTCCACCCGATTAGAACAAATGGAAAGCGTAACGTTGGATTCTCTACTATCAAAGGACTTATTTAGTTCATTGATATTCGAATTCTCATCTGTAATTTGTTTCATGCCTATTAGTTTACCTGTAAAGTTTCAGTCAGTCAGTCAGTTGCAACGTAGAACTTCGTACGTATTTACATACGTACGTTCGTAACACATGTCCCAACCACCTCAACTGATGAAGTTTCAATATTTCATCAATTTATCTGCCATCCTTACCTAGTACTCGTTTCATAATAGCAACATTGCTTACTCCGCTGTCGCACGATACACGAGCAATGCTTCGAAGACACCTAGGCTTTTTATCAGCCTGCGCTTAAGCTGACTTCGTTCTTCACCATGTTCAGAGCCAGGTGGGATGTGTTTACGAGCGTTTATCAGCTCAGTGGATGCTACTGAGATCCACGGCTTCATCTTAGGCTTATGGTTTACCTTACTAGCAGATATCACTGCTGTTTCCACAGCCTTTTTCATATCATTCCAACCTGCCTCCGGATGGGAATCACTTACATGGTCGCCTAACTCTCTTCCTAGTTGTTTCTGGAATATATTCTTAGCCTCATTATCATTAAGTAGAACCCTAACAGGTTTCCTTGAGGTGTCTTTCTACGGCCAGTAAGTCGCAAACAAATACGCGCTCGCACTACGGCATGATCTGAATCTAGACATATGTCACTGAACGAGCGACAATCCTCTATCGAACCCCTCCATCGGTGTCTGATGTCGATGTGATCTAGTTGCGTCCTACGTTGAGACGACTTTGGGGGTCGCCAGGTCAACAGATGTTTTTCCTTATGTCTAAAGTTAGTGTTTGCTAGAAATAGGCGATTATCTGAGCATACTTGCAACAGACGGTCGCCATCATCTGTTCTCTGAGCAGCGAAACCATAAGATCCACCATGTGTCTCTCCTTTTCACTAAGTCTTCCTACTTGAGCATTGAAGTCACCAGCCATTATCACTATATCAGTGTGCCTAAGTTTGCGGAGTTTACAAAATTAATACTTCTTATCATTTTAAGCGGAAAGCTGTCAACTGTTTGATTTCCTCATACAGATTTATATCTTGGCTGTATATAGTAAATATTGTCTGCAATATATGATGTGAACTTGTTTTTGTTTAAAATGATTGTGTTTCGATTACTCAGTTTGTTTAATTATTAAAAAAAAAACATTTTTCATTTCTACTCAAGCATTGCATCTAGCTGTTCGACATGCAAGAGTGAATTGTCTTGTCAAACTCCTTAATCATTCCGATACAAATTGTTTTTGTATGAATATCAGGTTAGTTTTCACCATTTTAATAATAAAAATTTTATAAACATATTACAATTTAATTTAATTTGACATGGTTTGGATTATCTGGTTGTTGAGATTTTGACTGAAATTTTATGTCTTTATTGTCGTTTGAGCATATTAAACAGCGCGATAGTGTTTGAACTATAGGGTACTGGGTTCTAGTCCTAGAGTGAACATCAACTCTGGGATGCATGTACACCCAGCTGACAAGTCCCGAATAGGATGAAATGCGCGTTCTGCGTCTCACTGCTAGCCATATTCTCTACATTAAAATTTGATTGTAATTCTGTAAAAAGGATCTGAATTGTATCTCCTAATCTCTTCAGTTCAATATTCTTGTATGGATTATGAAACGCTATGGTTTTTACTGTTTTTTCATCACTAGTTACGAAATATAACAACCATCAGTAGGAAAGTATTATGGCGATGGTAAAGGACGATGGACATCTAAATATTTTTATTTTCATAGCGAAGTTATAAGATATATATTAGTTGTATAACTTTTAGCTTCATCGCAATTCTGTTCAGGTAGAAAAAATATGATAGTCACTTCTAAGTAACCTGTTTAGTGTGTATTTGAATTAGGTCTAAGTCCATTTATAGATTTGTATGAAATGTCATATTTTACGGTGTATAAAGTAGATAAGGCCTCGTAAACCCCATTGTGTAACCAACATCTGCGGTAGGTTGTATACAGATTGTCAGTTAACTTCATCCAAGTCTCCCTCAACCTTTAGTCCCACCTTTTTATTATATGTAAGCTGACTACTAATGAGTAGTCAAATACTGTTTAGCCAAATTCTTCCAATGACGAAAATATTGTTTCAAACATATTTATGGCAAAGACACAGAGCTTGTCGATTTACTCAACATAATATTTGAATTGATATTAACGTTATTAAATGATTCAATTGATGCGTTTCTTAGATTTTCATGAAGATTTTAAATATTTGCAAATCCAACATTTTTCTAGAGGTCAATTACCAATTCATTTACTAGCTCAACATCAAGGTCCAGTCAGTGTTGAAATACTTGGATATTTGTTAGAAATATCTGTCGCTAATCAAATCAATTGTCAAGATGCTGCTGGCAATACACGTGAGTAACTTAAGTCAGTAGCATGTGTTATATGATATTGTTATGGCTTGTTTGTTCGTTTACTGCTGCTAACTCAACATATTGATAGCAATCTCGCTAATAATTCGTTTATAATTTGACACTCATTACATTGATACTAGTATCATACTTCGAAAACGAATAAAATCCAGTAAAAATATGATTTTATTCAACGAATACATCCCATCAAAGTCAATCGATCTAATGTAATGAGTCCATAACATAAAAGGATAGGAGAAGTTTTTGGTTGACAACGTTGACACTTAATATGTTTGGCAAGATAATATCATACATTCATTCAGTACCACATGAAGTTCCGCAATATACCGCTCACATTTTATAAAGATTACATTTCGCTAAATAATTATTCAGTGTACTAAGTCGTATATTTTAATCCACAGCTCCGTAGCAGAGAGTTGAGAGAAAGTGTTTTCAAAGTTCCTTCCTTTCCCCCTACAACTGAAAGCTAAGTGTTCAATTCTATACGTATTCATAAGTGAACACTTTTAAGTAGTCTTAAACTGGAATGAATTCACTGAAGAGAGCTTCCTCTGTGTTATGCATAGTATCTAAAAAGAATATTTAAACGAATAAGTTTCATTTGAACCGCTTTCTGACATAATTTTCTTGTCCTTTTTCTCATCTAATTTCATCGCTCGTAATTTACACATTAATTACATGAGAGAAGCTCAGTGCATAAGAATGATGATTAGTTTATGCAATATTGATTGTTAACTTTGTCATAAACGCGTGAATACATGCAAATCTGGATTGTCCGATGATGAATTAGTTTGTTTGTCTGTTTATTCGTTTTCTTCCCATCCGATTCTCTTCATTTATTACTAATTATATTAACATAATTTTGCTTTTGTTTGTGTGTATCTATCTAACTAAAAATATTTGTTTATCTCATATGTATTCAATAATCTAGGCTAATGCAATGCTGTTTTCTTCCTTTGATAATTCGATTACTATTCGATGTGTTAGTTGACATTTGTTATTATTTATTTTTATTCATGTTACCTTTAATGGAAGCCATTAGCTAATAATTCAAATTTTGATTTTACCTAACTGCAGTACAGTTTTTGTAAACATGTTTAGAATCGGAAAGAACTTATCACTCTAAATATGCCAAACAATTTTTCAGTCGAGGTGGTTGAATTATGCCGTAGTGTAATGCTAGGATACGTTTAGACCGGATGGAATAAGTGACGTAGTTAAGGAAGACAGTTTAATAGCGGTCTGCCATTTGCTAAACATGCAGATTATTGTCTATTTTCTTTAAAACATCTTCCAGTTTTCAAAACGCTTCAATCGCGCCATGCATTTGGATCCGACACTCTTTTGTTTAGTAGTAACTTCTGGGTGACACTCCACTGTCTACTACTTATAAGCCACGTAGTAGTATCCACTGCAATATATATACTGAACCACCGCCTACCTTGACAGAGAATGTTTGCTAAGTTATATGATAGTATGAATCTTTTTGGTAATAAATGTTTAATTATTATGTGGTTATTTGAATATTCGCCAGTATTTGAACAGATAATTTGACATAAATCGGGCGCCGAGTTTATAAAAGACATCATTTGTGAAAATGATATTTGAATTAATCGCAGTGATTGAAATTTGAACAATTCCAACACCACGTTCAGCGATTTTGTCTAGAATTATTCAAGGTAGTCTAGAAAAAATTTCTGGACGTATCGCTGGAATTGTTCAAGTTTAAATCACTGAGATTAATTCAAATATATTTATCACCAATAATGTATCATAGGATTAGTTACATGGCAATTTGAAATAGGCTAGATTTCTATAGGATTTTCTTAAATACACCTTTCCTTCAACAAAACGTGCTAAATCTAAATAGTTGTCTCATATCTGTAAGATATATCTACAATCTCAAGGGAACTGATTCTCTTTGTGTGATTTGAATCTTCGTCACACAATGTTACAGTTGGATACATTAAAATAGGATTATTTAAGTTGTGATCGATTTCCTATGTAACTATTATATTTACTTACATGACCAGTGAGAGTAGAAGATATTCGTAGGTTACTGGTTTTCGATCAGGTGTCTTCGAAGCATTGCTCGTATATCATGGGACACCCGAGTGAGCAACGCTGTTATTAGGAATCGGGTGCTAGGTAAGAATGGCAGATAAATAGATGAAGTACTGAAACTTCATCAGTTGAGGTGGTTGGGACATGTGTTGCGTATGCCCAACCACCGACTGCCTCGTCGAGCTTTGTTTTGTAGTGTAGGAATAGGTTGGAAGAAAGTTAGGGGCGGCCAAACCAAAACATGGCAGAAATCTATGAAGTCATTGACGAGTGGACTTAGCCATGTCGGTAATTGTCGACTACCTGGTTGGGGTCCGCGAGATGATAATAATCGATGGTTAGAGACCTTGAATGATATGGCTCAAAATCGTTGGCAATGGCGCCGGTGTATTTATTCTTTGTGTTCTCTCAAATCCTAATCTTCTGGATTCTTCAACACCTCTAGTTTTGACTTTCTAAACTTTTCTCACTGAATCATACTTCTTGAATAATATCTTCTCATCCTTACCTCTCCGATTACTTCTAATACCCGTACTAACTCTTCTACTATTGGATTTGAATTGACAATTACATCTCTGTGCTGATGTGGTATGGAGACATGAACTGATGTACTTACGTACGAAGTTCTACGTTGCATCTGACTGACTGACTGACTTACATCAATCATTAAGTACAACGTAATATACTTAGTGATTATCAAATTCTCTTGATCATGCTTTAGGATAACCAGTGGTCCAATTTACACATTGTGCGGACCATTTTTAGATGTTAGTCTAGCTGGATTCCTTCAAACATCTGACAGTAGGACATAATGCATGCAATAACAAGTCACTTAGACAAGTGATCAAACTGATACTTGTTCGTTAAAGTTCGGTCAATGCAAAGGATTAATCAAAATCCAATTTCAATATTGATGACTGTTTAATCAGTCCAGTTATTTGAAGTATTACGGGTATCTTGTAGCTTGTTTCACAGTTTGACGAGGTTAACATACTTCAAATAGCTACGACAATTAAAAAAAGAATTGATATTGGAATTTTTTCTCAGTAAAGCTAACGGTTTTCATCGTGATCTCAACTCAGCCCACCTAGTTTTACTAAATGAATTTAATTTTGCTTAGAAATTCCTAGTTGATTGAGAAAACAGATAGTTTTTTTCTTTTTTTGGTGAAAGAGCTTTGCTATTGATCAATTTGTTGATTAGAATGATATGGAAAAAAATATTTATCTCTATTTTAAGTGGTTGTTAAATTATTATTATTATTATTGTAATGTACGGTTGAGTTGTTAACTGAAAATTCACAAGTTAGTTATTTTTAAATTCTTTGTTTGTTCTTCACAAGTGAGATTCTAATTTGCAAGTAAATGGTTAAACCGTTGTAGTACAATTCCGTTTTATTATTTTTGTTTGTAGGTCAACAATCAATCAGTCATTGATAATGTAGAAGTAGATTTGTTAAAAAAAAATGTAACAACCACTAACTACATTTAAACATGCACAGTCATAGAATGTAAATACAGAGTAAAAATATTCATGGAAATCAATAATCTGTTGTTTTCTGTCATCACCTCACGTCATTTAACTATAAGGGAGTAAAAGACACTGGATAGTTATTTTGTCCTAGTTTGTTACTTCACATTAATGCGCATCACAACCCTGATTTCATAAATGATAGTATTCAATTTGAACACTTTTAAATGAGCACTGCAATTATTTAAATATGAAACTTTAGTCGATTTGTGATATGATGTATTCCTCATATAATTTCATAGTGAAAATTGTTTTCTAATGGTAGATAAGACTACTTGACTTTGTATCCGAATAATTAGAGAATACACTTACCTTTGAGCAAAGATGTCGCTCTGCTTTACATTCATAAATATTGTTTCGTTTCTAAATATTAATTTCCTCTTGTTTGAAAATCATATTTGATCTTAGTTCTTAGTCAGTAAGTACTGTGTACTGTATTTGTGTGTGTACGTACACGACAATCTTTTTAGCGTAACAAATAATTTTTGGAAATAAATTTTGATTCTATTTTTTTCCCTTTCGCTTCATTGTTTTCAGCATTAATTCTTGCATATCAAGCACAGAACGTATCACTATGTATCGCATTACTTCAAGCTGGTGCATCTTTAGGAGTGATGAATTCTGAAGGGGATACTGTGTTTAGTTTAGATAGAAAGAAATGTAAAAGTTCATCGCCTGGACGTGTTCTTTCACAATTATTAGGTAGATGTTTTTTGTTGTTGAGATTAGAACTTTTTAGCTAGTAATTGTTCTTTTTTTTAACATTCTATAATAGACATTTCACTTTCGAATTTGTTTTGAATCTATACACTCGTATGTGCTTGTTGTAGAGAAATATCTTTAGAAGAATAAAGATAGTTGGTAGCAGATGCTTCTGATCTTTAAGTATCTTATGATAAGACTGGTCAAAGTTAATTCTAGGGCGATTAGAGAGATATGCTGGTGATTGATACTTCCCATTGTTTTGAATACCTTTTTCTGAAAGACGCTTTTTACAGCGGATAGATTTAATATAGAAATACTTTCTATCTGCGTGTGTAAATGCAGAGCCCGAAATGCTTCATGTCAATGATGAACAACCTTTTCAGATTTTTGTTGTGATAAATCCTTTTAGACTGACGGTGTTGAAGATTTGTGAAACAAGGATATATATGGTTTTTTTAATGACTGACCCCTCTCATTTATGGGAATGCAACATAATTAGATTAGGCTTACTATCCCTGAGGAACACTGCTACCATTTTACCTTATTCCAACCACTAGTTCAATCCGCGGATCTCAAATACAGTACTTCTGTCCTTACTGCTCTTAAATCGACTCGTCTAGAATCAAAGGACCTCAAGAAACACTTGTCCCAGAAAACATAACTCGACTGGATAATCATGATAGAAAATTCTGACCAATGTTGTAAGTATTGTGAATAGGACACCAATGAAACTTCTTACGACTTTTTACAAAACATCTCTGACTATTGAATGCTTGTTTTTGTGAAGATACTGATAACTTTCTTCTACCTGTTATTTTACTTTAGCTATTCGGAAGCACAAAAAAATAAGTTTAAAATATTACACAAAAGGAAAGCTCACTATCAAGTTAAATGAGATACTCACATCTGTTAGATAATAAAAAAAATTCTCAAATTTATCTAAATAATAATTCTATAAATTGACCACTAAATGATCTCAATACTATAATTTGACAAATGTATTATGCTATTTCATGAGAAACAGTTTTAAATTTATGTTTTATTAGCGTGAACACAATGATTACATCAGATAAAGTTTAATTGTTCATTTTCTTTTTTCAATTTGTTCATGAACTAACTGTAAAGTGAATTTTTTTCCTCACAAAAAATTTACTAGATTCACTCGTTCAAGAACCTCGATGGGAAGATGGTTCTGTTTGTGTTGAATGTTGTGTGAAATTTGGAATCACTAACAGAAAACATCATTGGTATGTGGTGTAAATTATTTTTCTTATTGCTTATTTATTTGATTTCTTCATTGATATTATAAACAGAAGTGAAGATTTAATGAGTATTATATGATTTCAATTCTTAAATGATTATTTTTTTCATCGGATGCTGAATATTTCAATCATATATGGTTGTATTTTGCGTAGGCTTTTTTATCAGCCAGCGCCTAAGTTGACATCGCTCTTCATCATGTTCGGAGCCAGGCGGGATGCGTTTTCGAGCATCCATCAGTTCGGTAGATGCTACTGAGATCCACAGCTACTTCCTAGACTTATGGTTTACCTTACTAGCATATATCACTGCTGTTTCCACAGCCCTTTTGATATCATTCCAACCTGCCCCCGAGTAAGAATCATTTACATGGTCGCCTAACTATCCTACTAGTTGTTCCTGAAATATATTTCTAGCTTTATTATCATTAAGTAGAACCCTAACAGGTTTCCTTGAGATGTCTTTCTACGTCCAGTAAGTCGCAAACAAATACGCGCTCGCACCACGGCATAATCTGAATGTAGACTTGTGCCACAGAACGAGCGACAGTCCTCTATCGAACCCCTCCATCGGTGTCTGATGTCGATATGATCTAGTTGCGTCCAACGTTGAGACGACTTTGGGAGTTGCCAGGTCAAAAGATGTTTTTCCTTTTGCCTAAAGTTAGTGTTTGCTGGAAATACGTGATTATCTGAGAGCAGCTGCCACAGACCGTATGCCATCATCTGTTCTCTGAACCGCGACACCTTGAGATCCACTCACGTGTCTTTCCTTTTCATTTAGTCCACCTACTTGAGCATTGAAGTCATCAGCCATTATCACTATATTAAATCGCTTAACTTTTTGGAGGTCCGAAAGCTTTCTGTAAAACTCATCTTTCACTTCGTCTGAACTGCAGTCAGTGGGAGCGTAGGCAGAGACGACGAAGAGGCGATGGCGAGTGTCCCTATCTTTCCGAGTCCTTACTGTTCCGTTTAGTCGGACAGCGCACAAGTGACTAGCTACTGGGACGCAGTCCAAGAGAGCTAGTTGTGCCCTACGACTCAATGCTTTACCGACGCCAGCTGGGCCGCGGGAAGCAGGATCAGGGCTATCGGATACACGAAGAGTAAATCGAGTTGCTTCTTTATTTTGACAAGATGAAAGCAGATTAATGACTTTACTAGGATCCTGTATGCGCGTTTCCGAGACTCAGCATATATCTATTGCGCGAGATTCTAGAGTCCTAGCTAAAGAAGCCTGTTGCCCTGTTTGGCACAATGTCCGTACATTAAATTCTCCAACATGTAGTCTAGAACGGGGTTTCAGGAGACCAGGAATAACTTTTCGTGTACTCGCATCGTTTGCATTAGCTCTGCTGTGTGATAAAGGAATGTGAGTAGAGTTAGTTGTGGAGAGAAGAGAGGTATATGTGGGTGTAGGAATGATTTAATTATTTCCAATATGGTCTCGCGTGCTGTTACGGGTATGAGGGCGGTTGTCACTTCCCTGCTGCTCACACCGTGGAAAGGTGTTTCTTGAGAAACCCTAAAAGAAAAGTAGGTTAGTGTTAGTTTTGGAGACCTGGGAGCGTGACCGCAGAGCCTAGGAGACAACTGCTTAAGGCCGGTCACGCACGGCCTTTTGATGAAAGGTTTTTTTAGTATTAGCTCCGCTCTTAAAAGCCCTTAGTGGGTACCCTTACCGCCGGAGACGGAAATCCGTGAGGTAGAGTGAGGTGTGACATTTTAAGGGTCGACCTTTTCTAACTCTTCCTTCCAGATGCTGGTTGTCCGAGGGAAACACCTTACTGCTGTCACACCTCTCTACAGTCAGCGGTACAACTTCATCCTCAGACCTTAACTTGCAGCTTTCAGTTCCATCGTTTTCCAATCGATCTGCCTGACACAGTGGGACCTTCAGGAACATATGTTCCAGCCAATATAGCTCGGTTGGGTCATCACGATAGGCAAACCCGACCACCACCTCAAGGTAGCAGCTACGGTCGGGCAATTTATTCTCATTGTGCTAATATGTTGTGGTAACTTTACCCTAGTACATATGTCTATCAGGGGCTATGTTAGTAATAACTGACTCTTACTTTAAGGTCTACTTGGTTGATAGTCATCGTCTCGCAAACCGAAATATGTGTGGAATACTGTAATCTTTAATTTACATCAAATTATTGAACTACTGAAAATTGCAATAGTTTTCACTGTTACTGTTGTAAGCTTTAATTTATAGTGAATAATAATTCCAACATTTCTCTCTTTTTGATTTTTCTAGTCGTCATTGTGGACGTTTACTTTGTGCTCAATGTTCAGCGTTTGAAGTACCAATAGTAAAATATGAACTTTCTAAACCAGTTCGTGTATGTGTAGTTTGTTTCAATTTTTTGAATAATCCATTCTAGTGTGTTTGTATATGTGTGTGTGTATATGTAACTGATGATTCTGATTTTATATTTTCACATGAAACTCGGTATATAGAGATGTATGTATATCATTTATTCTCTCATAGATTTAATTTCCTTACATTATTCCTTGTGATGTATGATTTTAACTTCAATATCTTTTTATCATGAAATTCTTAATTTGTTGATTTTAATTTCGTCACTTTAAACAAAGATGTATGTGTTATGTGTGGATAAATGATCATTGAACGTAAAATCATAATTTGTGTAGTATATGCACATGATGTGCAATCATTTCAGTATGCAAAAATTATTCATTTCTGGTTGTTTTTGCTTTATCTTTGTTTATTATGATGATTGTTTTTTATTTTTTGTTTTGCTATTTATTGTCTTGTTCTTACGAGCCAATAATGATGATAATTTCTGGGTTTCATTTTATTTTGTCCAATAAATTTATGTTGATGTTTGCAAAAATTTTTAACAAGGAAACAAATAAAAGACGATTGTTGATGGAAATTTTGTCAATTCTTATTTTGATGAGTTGAAAATTTTCATTGATCATTGATTTCTTGTTGACAAGTTATCTGTCATCAAATAAATGAATTAGTAGAAATCATGGAACTATTGTCTCCCCTGCTGAAATTGTGATTTATTGAAATGAATGAATTAATAAATTCAAACAATTGATTATTGAACAATAGATGACAGATTACATTTTTGTTTCAATTCCATTCGATTGAACCAAGGTAAAATATCACAATTTGTTGGCATGATTCAAATTTGAACAATTCGAAACAATACTGTGCTGTGATTATAAATGAACTACGATGCTTAAATTGATAAATTGAAATTATTTAATTTGATTTATGTTGAAGTAAAATGTAGATTCATATTTAAGGAACAATTTATTTGTCAACACATCAATTATCATTCGATAACTTATATATATGCGTATATATTTATATTAAAAATTTATCTTAATCACGTATGTTCATAATAAAAGAGTTTAATCTTACATATTTATTATTCAGTCATTTCTAAAATCAAACTGTGAAATTTTAAAAGAAAGATTGAAGAAGACGTCAGTACAAAGTTAACCATTATCTAACTAATCATGCTAACTGCACAAAATATAAACAAAACTTGAGAATTTTAAACGTGATGGAAGTATTCAGATAGAATTTGTATTTTTAATCAACAAAAAAATGTTTTGTTTTTTGTTCAACGTTTTTTGATCAAGAGATTTTCTTTCAAACTATCTTCTCATAGATGTAATTATTGAAGTAACTTTCAAGAATTTTACTTGGGAGATCAATTCAAAAGTTATAATTGTTATTACTTTTGTTTTATTATGGATATATTTTCTTATTACTTAATAATGTGGAAAAGTACAATGTATGATTTGATTTCTAAAGTAAATAAACTCAAACAAAAATGATTTTAGTCTTAAAGTGAACATTGAACTTTGTGTTTTTAGTGATGGATGCTTATTTTATTCGATCTTGAGAACATTCGATCGACTATTCAACACTGAAGACAGATCTATCAGATAGTAATAATAATAATAATAATTTTTTATTCATAATAGCATGTTAAGAGATATGGTTCTATGATAGTGAAGATTTTTAGCTTAGAAGAATGATTTTCTTGGAATTGTAATGTCCAAGCTTGATAGTTTATTCGTCAGTCTTTCATTTTTGAGCTATGAGAATATCTTTATAAGTGGTTAACACCTTGTTCTGTTAACTTTTAAGTTGACTATTATCCTGTCATTGCCTGCGCGCTTCTTTTGATTTTCACCGCCACTGACTTTCTGGTAGGTTAAGTTATTTCTCATTGTCCGATAAATTAATTTTATTTCAGGATATATTTATTAATGACTGAATGACCTGACTGTCAAGCTTCTAAAAATATAAACACATAAATTATATACTTACTTCTCCTTCCTGGTAAGAAAAAATTACTTAGCAGCTTTAAACAGTCTATTTGTTTTTGTTTAGATATTATCTCCTAAATAAGCTTAAACATAATTGAAAAGAAATTCCTAATTAGACCGTTTGTTTTTATTTCAACCGTTAGTTTGCATAATCTAACTCCATTTACACTCCACAGTTTAGTCAACTATTTATCCTTACAATATAAATTTTGACTCAAAGCTGAGTTTACAGCAGTGTGTATTATTTGGTTACAGAAGTTGTTTCTCATATTATTCCATGAGCCATGTTAATTTTTAGCAGGTTTATTTTCACAACTCCTAAAATTCAACATTTAGATGTAATATTACTTTGACTATATATATATCTTACGCTTCATTATATTGAGTGGTGCATTTTTTGATAGTAGAAATATGAAACTGGAGTATGATAGACTATCTATTATAGAAAAAATGAATCTTTTCAAGTTTGTCAGTCGCTGCTTGTTATTTCCTTAAAAATATGAATAATTTACATATGTAGACAATGGCTATTGCAAAATTAGAAACTGTGTTGTCATCGCATGCTTATACTGTCCCCTTTTATGATGATAAATTTCGTAAAAAACTTAAATTTCAGGTGGAATTGAAATGGCGGAAGTATGTCATGATCATTTTGATCGATCAGGTGAACTGAAAACTAGTCAGTAATATGTTTTTTACAATAGTGGAGAAGTCTATAGTGCTAAAAAAAGCCCCAAAAGTTCATTGGAACACGTATAACATTTTATAAATATCGTTAAAACCTCATGAATAATCGTAGATCATTAAAAGACTTTGATCGTTTCGGTAAACTTAAAGTTTAAACTTTGTTACCCTTATAGTTTATGTTGAATTTCGCTCGAAGATTTTCTCTAATAATTTATTAGTAGTCGAATAATAAAGGTCGATAGCAAATGGCAATAATTTTCTATCGAGTGAAAGTATTAATATGTCTGTCACCTTTTAGTAGAGCGAACTATGTAAGAGAATAATTCCCGAATTTTGCTTACTGCATAAAATGAAACTTTTGTCTTAAGATCAATAATTCCACTGGAAAATTTCTTTTCAATCTTCCTTAAGATTAACTATTAATCGGATTTGTAGAATTCAGTGAATTTTTTTCATATTTTAAGATTACTCAGCTGTAAATAGCATACAATTATAAGGAGTTATGTTAGTAAAACAAAAACTAAGATTCGACGTACTTTAATTAAGTGAAATTCAGATGGTTATTCAGTATAGAACTACTGATAGTCATAATTAGAGGAATAAGATTTTTAATAGTTTATTTATTCATTTAAAGCGTAGTTATTTAAAAACAGTAGGGAAGATAAAGTTATAATCACTAATAGTCATATTAAAAATAGAACATTTTATAATAGTAATCAAAATAATAAATAATTGCACGTTAATTTATGAGTATTAGTTAGATCATGTTGCAAGTGTTGATCGCAATCATGGTTACCATGACAAAGGTATACAAACTTCTCCTACTGTATACATAGATCAGATTATAAAAAGTTCGATAGTAGCTGACTCTGTAAAGTGGTTCAACATTGGTTCCGATTAATGACTTCGATTGAGACAAGGCTGTTTTCAATCTGTTTATTTATTATCTATCAGCAACCAAATGGATCATTAGTTAATTTATGTGAAACATTTGTTTGTATTATATTATTCCTAAGTTTATGCTGTTCACATCTGTGAGATACCATAAACTTGGCTTACTCTGTGAACCTTATTGTCCATGATCTGTTTAAATTTATCAAGTGATCTAGTTGTATAAACAATAACAGTTTATATCGCACTATTGAAATTTCACCATGAAAATAACTGAATATTTATTTTATTCACTAAAACTAGATGAGTTTTGATACAAAAATAAAAACGAAAGGGATATTAAGTGTTAGTTAAGAGATAAATAACAAAATTTTCATCACATTTGCTATTATCAGTTGTTGTTCGTCTAACCAATAGTGCTATTATTTATTTAAATCTATGGCATCATTTAGAGACATTTGTTAATTGGACAACTATTGATCGTTGTAATTAGGACATTTAGTTTAACAGGAAATATTTTCTGCTTCAATGAGAAATTAGTCATAAGATTTATATGAAATATTCCCATTGTAACTATTGGAACAACACATATAAGCGAGCAACATTGTTTACGATTAAATTGTCATCAGGCTTTACTCTAATATACATGAATATTTATATGAAAATGTTTAACCAATCAAGACCATTTATGAGTCAATAATCACAATCAAATAGATCACGGAAGTACAAATAATAGGTAAAAGTACAAGTTGATGGTAGGAAGACAAGTGTACTGTTAGTGATAAGAATCATACAATACAATGACAAAAGCTTTTGTTAATAGTTCAACATTGGAAGTAGTAAGTCAAACGTGAATAAATAGACTTGAAATAATATTCATAAAGTTCTATTAAAATTACTTAATGAGAAGACTGTAGAATAATTAGATGGTGAAGAATGGGAACGGAAAGAGGCGAAAAAATTACAAATAAATGCAGGATGTGAAAATAGTGCTAATAATAATAAATAAATAAATTTAAAATCGTTGGTTACGTTATATCCGACCAAGGAAGAGACAGGAGTGTCTCGAATTTCTTCTGAACACATAAATTGAGGTTGAATGTTTGGATTCCCATAGCTTCTTCTATATGTAGGATCTGCCGTATACCTCGAGTTCAGTCCCGTCTCCTACATGTAGCAGAAGCTAGGAGTTGAACACTTCGCCAAAACACAGATACACCTTGTTGAATCCTCGATGAAAAATTACGGTATTCTACAGCTTTATCTAACAAGTTCGCTTGCAAAGGGAATTGAATCATCCAATATTTTTAAATAGCTCTGCAAAACTTATAGTTCATGAATATTAATGCATATACTAATACAGTAAAAGTAGGTGAAAAATCAACTACTCAAATTAATCAAGCTTTCAAATAATGTTTTTATTAATCATCCTGGTTTTATCTCAAAACAAGTAATAATTATATTGGCTTTGAACCACAATGTGTACCATTTAATAAAATTATTATTTAGAAATACTAGTAAGTTATGAAAATCATTGGAAAAATTAAAGAATTATTCGTAATTGTATAGATCAACATTAATCAGCAGCGTCATCACGAATCACAAAATAAACCGAAGTTCAGAATAAAATGATCTACAGATCAGAAGCGAGCAGAATTATTAATAGTTGATAGAGGAGAAAAATACCTACATTACGGTAATTACGTAGTGTGTACCTTCAAAACCTTTAGACGTAAAGAAACACAAGTATAACATAATGGACCTAATGAATCGAACCGATTAGTCTTACCTAGCAAATAGAACATAAAGCTTAAATGACGAAAAGTATATTGACTGCTGTTTGAAGTAAATTCCAACCACTACACTAAACAACTCACACAAATGTGCATTTACTATTCTGTTATTATATCATATTCATCCTCCGTTCATAATATATATTTAGTTAGTTGATAGTTACAGTAATGAATTGTGCTAATTTTACTGACAAATACAAATGGATAGATTCAGAAAAGATTGATCCAAATATACTAAAATGTAATTTCCATAACAATCTCTAGTTAGTTATATGCTTGTGTTTTCAAACTCAATTTGTCAGTAGCTCCAGATGACAGCAAGTCACTATTTCAACATTACTACTATTAATCATCACATTTTAACCATAAATGCTGTTGAATTCTTGTAAAAAGCTAGTTCATCATACAGACATGATGCAATTGTATAGATAAAGAAATATTAGTTTATTCATTGTAGTCATATTGGAAACAGAATGTGTATGAAATAGTGATGAATTAATTTAAACCCTTTTTGACTTTCAAATCTTTCATATATATCCTTAGAAATTTTCATGAATTCTTCTTTATGTTAACTTTGTAATACAGGTTCACTTAAGGAATAATTTTCATTTAAACTAATGACCTCAATTTCTTTAATGTTCATTTTGATAAATGATTGTGTATTTCATTCAAAAATCCTATCTTAAAACTTGAACACTACTATTTAAAACAAAGTAAACTTACAAACTGAAACAAATAAACAACAAATAAATCATATTATTATATAGTAAACAGATATATTTCAGTTAGTATAATATGTATATCAAAATAATTTATGTTTTTACCGAACAGTTATGTGTCCAACAATCAGCAGTAGTGTACGGGAGTTAAGTTTCATTGAATCATTGTTCATTGTTTCATTGATCAATGTTAGACTACTGTTAGAAACCTGCCAGCTTTAAGATGAAAATATTTCTATTAGCGTATATTCCAACAATAATCTACTCAGTATAAACTTTTTTAAATAAAGGGCAATTCACTAGGGATGCACAGCGAGTAATCACTGTGAATTCATCAAGTTCATTTGTTCAAGTAATTGT